TTTGTTTTATCGTCTCAGACCTCTGTATCCATGGATTCTAGGTCCACGAATTAACCATCCACATCTTGATATTTTTTTAAAATTCCAAAAGGCAGGGCTTGATTTGCCATTTTATATAAGGAACACTATTTTTACTATGCTGTTGTATATAATGAGACTTGAACATCCAGTATTTTTTTATCCATAGGATATCTTGGAACTAAATTCCAGCAGATACCAAGGACCCACGGTATTTTTCTTGTGCTCGTCAATTACATAATATTTACAAAAATAATAAATGAAGTAATTAAAATTTATTTTTTAAAGTATAAGTCAAAGGCCACGAAAGTTATCTAGATTTGCTGATGAGAATCAGAGTATGATCTGCATGCAGGTGGGATATCCCTTTTCCAAAATGCTTGGGTCCAAGATTGTTTTGGATTTGGGGTTTTTTAAATTTTAGAATACTTGTATTTGTATGTACATAATGAGATATCTTGCAGATGGGACCCAAAGCTAAACACAAAAATTATTTATTTCATATACACCTTTTAAACATAGCCTGAAAGTAATTTCATACCATAGTTTAAGTAAGTTTTCTCAAACTTTGCTCCTCCAGGTGTTTTGGACTTCAGCTTCCAGAAATCCCAGCTAGTTTACAACTGTTAGGAATTGTGGGAGCTGAAGTCCAAAACATCTGGAGCAGCATGTTTGAAAAACACTGGTTTAGATCATTTTATGTATTAAACAAAGTTTATGTACTTCGAATAATCAGAAATAAATGTGGCCAGTCTGTTGTAGGCATTATAATAAGATCTGCATGTTGGATGGTTGGATTGTGTTCGGATGGTCATGAAAGTGTTAAATCGAACAACATGGTAGTTAGTACCTTCTGGACTGAATCCCGACTCTGTACCAAATTCTAAGAATCCCAAATAGTTCTATAAAGCCATTGATTGTGTAAGCTGGATGGTTAAAGTGATATCAAATTGCTTTGTAGCATTGATGCATTCCTCATTTTCTGCAGTCTTTTGAGACTTAACATTTGCAATTTTATTTTCTCTTAGCTTGACTGCCTTGCTGTTTGTCTTTTTGGCAGGCACTTGGCTTTTAAAAACACCGGGTATCTTTTACAAGGAACAGTGTGGGGCCTAACATTTAGAAAAGGAAATCATTGGGAAATATAGAGTGGTTGTCCTTTCACTACAATATTTTGTTAGATAAATGGGCAACTTAACAGGATATGATCAGATTGATGGTTCTGTCAATGCTGTGTCATTTTTTCCCTTTTGCTTCTGGAAAGAATATAAATGTTTGGAGTGCAACATTATGAGGCCCAATGAGTAAAGTATAAGCAAGCTCTCTTAATTGCTGCTTCTTGATATATTATTCCATTGAAATGGATCAAATATTCATTGTCAATCAATATTGTATGCACCCGTTTGTATGGCATAATGTAATATGTTTAGATGTAGTTAATAAAAATATACTTGCTAGTCACTTATTAAATTAGTCAGTCCATAGATGGTGGACTTCATTGGACTTGGTAGCCAGATTTCACCCCCTGGAACTCACTCAGGTTGTATTTATGCTGTAGAATTATACAGTTTGATGCTACTTTAAATACACACAGCTCAATGCTATGGAATCAAGGGAGTTCTACTTTAGCAGTCTTTAGTCTTCTCTGTCAAAGAATGCTGGTGCTTCACCCAGATACAAATCTCAGGATTCCATTGCACTGAGCCATGGCAGTTAAAGTGGTGTCTACAGTGTAGAGCAGTGCATTATTTCTACAGTGTAGAGCAGGCATGGGCAAACTATTTTTCTGAGGGCTGCATTGTGGGCTTGGCTGGGAGGACCAGGCCAGAAAAGAGGGCAGCCAGGCACACACTGGGTAGGATGGACCTGGGAGTAGGAGGCCAGGAGGGGTCAGGTCATCCTCAGGTTGTCCTCCTCGTATGAGGACGGGGCTGCTCACTGCATCCTTATGCCAGGAGAAAAACAAGATATGTGGTGACTGCCTCCATCCTCCTCCCCAATACTCTTCCCTCAATCTTCAGGCTGTTCTCTCAGCATTATGCTGGGAGGGGGGCAAGTCAGGAGATGTCCAAGAGTGCTCTGGAGGTTTCTCAACCACTGTGTGCCTTCCTCAAGCCATCCTCCCAACATAAGGCCAGGGCTGCTCACATCATCCTTATGCCAAGAGGAGGGCGAGACACGCGGTGGCTGAGAGGGTTCTCAACTGCTGCGTGCCTTCCTCCCCATCCTTTCTGCATAAGGATGTGGGGGCCACTGCGGCCTTATACCAATGAGAAGGCCCTGAGATAAGTGCTCAGGGGTCACATCAGGCTGGCCCGGGCCTTAGTTTGCCTGTGCCAGGTGTAGAGCCAGCATCAGCCTAGCCCCCAGCCTGTGCTACTCAAAATTGATGGGAAAAATGTTACTGCAATATGACAAGGCACTTAGACTTCTGGAAGAATTTGTTTCTTCTAAGCTAAAACATGTATCCTACAGGGCCAAAATTAGTGGCCATTGGGGTGCCACAGAAATGAGGAGAGAATGAGAATCCACTGGGATAAGAAATATGAGGATATAATCATGTTTTTCCCCTTCTGAGATAGAGAAATCATATTTCATTCATCTGATTTTCTTTTCTTTCTTTACATTTATTTTTAAAAAAATAGTTATAAGAAAAGGCAGGGGGAAGAACCTTCAGATTCTGCATAGACGATGATAGGTATCTTCCACTGAGAAAGTTCAGAATAATCTGGATGATGATTCTAACCTGTCCCTTTCCCAAGAACTCGCAATCCCAGCATCTCTTAATAATAATCACACAGAACCAAAAGGACAAGCTGTGATTATCTGTTCTGGGGGAAGAGAAGGTTAGGGTCTTCAACATTTATGCTGACCTTGTTCCTGCAAGATAAAGAGATTCCTTATATAGCTCAGACTGCACTATCCATACACAAGAAGGATGTAGGGATGTAGAGGTGAGCCGTTTACCCATGTCTCTTTGTCTCATCTCATTATTCTTTGTATATATCCAATAGGTCATCTAGTCCTTCTGGCTTCTACATTCCTGTGGCTTTGAAAGATGGGTCTGATGCATTGATTTCTGTTGTTTTCCTGCATGGTTAGGAAGTGCACCATGACTTGCATATTAAAGAGTGCATTAAGGAGGTGTGATGGGCAAAGGCTTGCAAGATAAATGGAGTGTGGTAGAGAGAATGAGCTCCAGGGGAATTTATTATTTATTTAAAGTATTTCTGTTCGACTCTTTAGCCATAAAGACTCCCCAAACAGCTTATGTAGCAAGACAGTCCTTGCCCACAGGCTACAATCTATATTTAAAACATGGCACACAAGGAAGAACCGATTAAGAGGAAGGACAGTTATAAAGAATACTTGCAAATGTTCTCTTCCTCAGCTGAAAAAAGAGCACTGTTGAAAAATTGGTCAACCTTCTCTCAATTTTTGTGCATTTCACTTAGAATTTACAAAATAAAAGTCTATATAAAAACATTAGCTCTTCTGCAACTTTTGCAGAAAATGCACATCTTGTGCAAAGCATATTTTTGTGTGTAAGAAACATTCTAAAATCACTGACCTCCAAAAATCTCACCCAGCAAGAGAAAATATTTCATGTTCTTTGGTCTTACATGAGAACAAAATAAACAAAGATATCCAAAGATTGGTAGGGAAGAGAGTGTATTTTTCACCTACTTATGTAGACAAGGAAGCTTATGTATTTTGAAATATGTCCTGCATTTCTTCACACAATAGACTCAGAGACTGTCGAGTTTTGTCTTTTATTAGTGCCCATGGGAATTTTTAGAGTTATTCAACCTTCAATAGATTAGAAATAGAATGCTGGTTCAGCAGTTTTAAAAAACTGTCCACGATAGAGTGATATCATATGATACAGCCTGTGTCTTCGTTGTTTAAAAAATACTTTGTTGGATTATAGAAGGGGGTATGCAGGGATATGTCTTTCTTCTTAATGGATGCTGATCTGGAATATGAGCATTAGCAATGACAGTTATTAACAAGGGGAGGAAAATCTTGTCATTATACTAAGTAATCATTTCTGGCAGGTGATAATTAATGGTCTGGCAAAGTCAGTAGAAAGATTATCTGACAGCCTTGCAGAAAACTGGGGGAAATATATTCTGCTTTCTTTTCTTGGGAGCTCCCAGGAATAATTCAGAATCAAGAAGAAGAAAAAATGAGAGCCTGATGTGTATCTACATGTCTGTGGATGTATTCATCAAATCATTTTCAAAATCTTCCATTTGTTTTGCAATATGAGGAGCTGATTTTATTTATTCATCATTGGTTTGGGTAAAAGCTCTGTTGCTGGATGGCTATTACAAACAATAGGTAGGACACTTAAGTAAGTTAAGTCTGATGTATCAAATGAATAAAAAAGGTTACTTACAGTGGTGGAAATGTAGGTGCTACCATTCATACTGTATCAATTTAAATGTCTCCATATCTTTCTTATGACTTCGTCACACACAGTAAAAGAAGTAGCAACCCATGGTGCTCTTCACACAATGCAAGCTTCAACTGTGGGGTGAGATATTCCCAACGATTCCTCCATGATTCCTAAGTTGGTTGGCAATTGATTTATTTTAAAATTCCCCACATGGAGAAGGGCAAAATGGCCAATTTCCCCATGTGATGTTAAACCCTTTTGCCCATGTTTGTTGCCTGCTCGTAAATAAAATGATGACACTGTGTGTGGGAGAAGCCGAAATGCCAATTTCCCCAGATCACGTGAGGAAAGATTAGAGTTAATTTAAAGCCACTTCCTGTGATCAAGGGTGATAATCAAAATCCTGGAGGGACAATGGGAGTAAATATCAGTGTGAACAACCCAAGGAAAGGTGTTGCCTTAAGAAAGGTGCTTCTGCTTCAGTGAAAAGGTCTTGAGTCCAAAGGTAGTGATCAACAAATCTATTGTGGCATAAACTTTTGTGGGACCATTTATGATTTTCCCCTTTTTCTCTTTCCAGGGGCTGACATAGTGCAATGGATCATGAAGAATCTCAACGTTGAAGATCCAGGTAACACCATGAAATATGACATGGGGCTTTGTATTGTGACAGAAAACATTATAGATTTCACTGCTGAATTCTGTAATATTATCCAGAACTCACGGGTTAAACGTTTCCTACTATATACACTAATGTTGAGTCCATCTCTAAATACCTTTTGTCAGCTGAGTATCTTCCGTCCTTCCTAACACAATTTAGTCAATGAGGAACCTGGAGGAACTTTAGTAAAATCTCCTCCTTAAACTTGGAATGGTTTTATTTGATATTAGTGGATTTTTTATATCTTCTGAATATCTAATTATGGTGGTTGATAGCCACAGGTTTGTCCAGTTTTGAAGATATTTCAGAGTTTTCCAGCAAATGTGGAGAGGTATTAAAAGTCGTTAAATGGTTGTAAGAAACTCTTGACGAGTGTAGGGTATCCAAATACATGACTTGAGTTACATTCTTGGCCATATACTTGCTGGTTCAGCAATCATCTTGGTATGATGAAGAACAAACACATGACTTTCCTTTAACCCATAGACACAGCAAATGAGGCAGGTATGTGCACAGGCCCAGACTTCCCCAACTAAGTATTTCCCAGTGTATTGAATTGCTATATCTGTAATCTCCAGCCAATATGACCATTGACCATGTTGGCTGGGGGTTATTGGGATTGCAGTCCGACATGTTTGGAGAAGACTCAGTTGGAAAGGTTACATATACTTGATTCATATGGCCTTCCTGGTCCCATCCTCAACTGCCTTAGGGTGGTAATTTGTGTACATTAAAATAATGCACTTTTTAAGATTAACTTAACACACATTTAAATTCTAAATTTTGTTTTATGTTTATTAGGTAGCATAGGATTAGAAAGGGAAGTTCACAAACTTTCTAAATGAATGTGTTGATACATAATTAATTAAATAAATGTAATATTGAATCATAAAGGATAGCACTAGCAGCAGTTTCAGAACAGAGGGATGAATAAAAAAGGGGGATTCTGTGACCACTGGAACTCGTTGACAGCTGGAGTGTATTCATTGGGAAGGGATAAATGAAAGCATTCTTTCCTCCCTAATAAATATCCTGTCCTTCTCAAATGAAGTATTATTTACTCCCCAAATTCCCAGCATTACAGAAAGTGAGACAATGGAAAGCATTCACTATCATACACATTCCTAAGTATACTCAAGGCACCAGATCCTATCTGATCTTAGAATCTAAGCAGGGTCAACCCTGTTTAATAATTGGATGAGAGACCATTGATGAATACCAGATACAATGGGTGACATTGCAGGGGAAGGAACTAGCAAAACCACAAATGTTCTTATGTGTAAATAAATCCTCTACAATACATGGAGTCACCATAAGTCAATAGATGACTCAAAGTCACTTGGCTAAATTGTATTTCTAAATTCTCAACTATTGTTTCAATATATTCCATGTTAGAAATTTTGGGACTGAAAGTAAACTGCATTTCTTCCTCACCCCCATAGCTACAACCTTGTTGACAGAAGACCGCACCACACCATCCTCTTATTTGAGCCTGTCAATGAGGCTATGCTTAAGTATATTTGGTCATCTAGCGAAGTCATGTTAACCAGACCATCAAAGTTCACTTTCAAGCATGCATTGTTTCATGGAAACATGGCTATAGATTATCATGTAGATATATGATATTGTTCTATTTGCAGCTGAAGCAATACACATGGGCAGCCTCGTCGCAGCACAGGGATATATTTTTCCAATCTCAGATCATGTGCTTACTTTGAAAGATGATGGTACTTTCTTTCGTTTTCAGGTAAGAAACACATCATCTTCACTCAAATTTAAAATGTTATCAAACTTATAATAAAAAATTGATTCCTCCCTCCAAAAAACTAGGTTGACTTATCCGTGGATCATTGTAAGTACTTTACCTTAACTCTTATTTTAAAGGGAACCATCTTTGAGTAGAGTGGCAAAAGGAAAGAACTAAGTTGATTCTGGGAGAGCATAAAAGAAACTCCAATTCCCTCTGCTCTCTCAGCCAGGATGCCTTTTCTGATCTTTCTGTATGTTGGACAATGGTGGCCAAAGTCACTAATGGTGACTGGACCCCCTGAGGGAAGACTGTACTTTTCCCTTTCTGCAGAATTACTCTAGATCAGGCCATTTAGGACAAATGAAGCCCTGTTCTAGTTAAGTTAAGAGGCCCCTTACTTGGGCCCCGAAGGGAGAGAGACTCAGTATGCCTACAATGCCTGCTTTGTGTCACACTGCCAGAGACTATCAACTCTATCAATATGACTGAATCACTCTGAAACAGAACACCTTCAAATTTAGAATTGCAGCATATAAGCAAAATCCATCGCTGGGGTGGGAGCCCACTATATGCAGCCCTCAGCTGTATGTTATTTAGGTCTCCTCTAGTCTTATCCATGGGTCATATCAAAATCCATTATTTTGCTTCTAAAACTTTCCCTCATCTTATTCATGAGGTCAACTTATACTTGAGTATATTATATATGATATGCATAACACCAGGAAATTATCTTATAATACTAGAAATGTGGGTCATCATAGTATTGGAACCCTCTGAAGTTAAATGTTGAGAGATCCAGAACAGACAAAAGGAAGTATCTCTTCCTCACCTACATTGTAAAATTTGCTACAAGAAGAAGTTGTGATGACCACCAGTTTGGGTTTAAATGAGGGATTATACAAGCTCGGAGGATAAGGCACTGACAACTAGGTTTACATTTTACCTCCATTATCAAAGGCAGTATGCTTCTGTTTACAGGTACAAGGAACATGGGCAGGAGAGTTCCAGTGTCCTTACATTCTGCTTTCCATAGGGTATCTGACTGAACACTGTATAAACAAGAATCCTTGACTAGATAGACCTTCATTCTGATCTATAAGGGCCCTTATCATGATTTATGTACTCCTCACCATATGTCATTGTTCTATATTTCAGGAGGCCGTATATGAGAAGATCATTTTGATTATGATGTCTGTAAGAATAACTTATTTTCTTTGATAGATTTATTTTTCAGTTGAGACAGTTAGCCTGAACACAGCTAGATTACATCAGTCCTATTTATTTCATTTAGACTTGATGTGCCTAAAAGTGCACAAAACCATGACTGTGATTTCTTTGATTCTATGAATTCCAGTTTCTTGACTCCAGAATAGAATTATTGATTTGAATGCTTGCATGTTAATGATACAATACAATTTGCTGCTTTTCAGGCTCCATACTTTTGGCCTTCAAATTGTTGGGAGCCAGAAAACACAGACTATGGTGAGCATTATTTGCTATTTTATTTTAAAAGATCATTTGTCAATGTGCCATAAGTAGTTTTATAGAAAAATACTAAAAAATCAAATTGTATTTGGTTATTAATCAGAGGTTAGTAGGATTATTTACTGTATGAAGTACAATTGCAAATAGTTTATGTTGTGCATGTCTTTTGTTTTCTTCTGTATGGACTAGAGTTCTTGAGCATTACTCATGGCCGTGGTAAGAGTAGTTGTGGTCAGGGGCGGCTCATCCATTACGCAAAGTAAGCGGTTGCAGAACACTTTTTTTTTGCCAGGGGCGCAGAGGCACCTCTGTAAATGCCCCTCGACCGCCACATGAGGAGCGCCCCCTCAGCTCACAACAGCCCTAGCAGTCTGGGGGGAGCCTCGGCTTTCTTGCCTCACTGCCGGGCGATCCTCTTCCCAAAGGGTCCGGGCCCTTGAGCCTCGCCTTGCCCCTCATGTTCCTGCTCCACCTGGCCACCAGCCTGCGCTCAATCGTTCTTCGCATTCGATCCCTTCCCCATGACCGGCTCCCTTTCCCAATCCCCCGGTGCTCCACCCGCTTCCTCTCCTCTCCCCAATCTGCAGGTGGGCCAAGGGGCGGAGCCGCCGTGCCTGGCCCGCTTCGGGTCTGGAGGCATGTCTGAAGACCCCAGCGTGTGCACCAAAAGTCGCCTCTTCTCCTGACTTTCTCTTCAGCCATTGGGACCAAGAGAGAGAGAGAGAGAGCCCCTCCGGCTGGAGGTATCTCCCACCTCCACTCCCTCCTTTGTTTTTGCGCTACCTTCAGGAAAGGTGGGCATCTCCACCTCTCTCTCTCTCTCTTGGTCCCAATGGCTGAGGAGAAAGTCAGGAGAAGAGGTGACTTTTGGTGCACATGCCGGGGTCTTCAGGCATGCCTCCAGACCCAAAGCGGGCCAGGCAAGGGAGCAAGTGCGGCAAGTGTAGTTACTGGGATGTATAGTTCACCTACAATCAAAGAGCATTCTGAACTCCACCAATGATGGAATTGAACCAAATATGGCACACAGAACTCCCACGACACAGAAAATATATATCAATGATTGGTTGGGGGGGGCCCAAAATACTGTTTGCTTACCATTGAAAATTACCTAGGGCCACCTCTAGTTGTGGTCCTGACAAGGTTTAACCAATGCAGCCAAAGATGTTTCAATCCCATGACCAGACCAGAAAATGGACTGAAATAGACCACTGTAATAAGTTTCATCAGTTAACTGCTAGAGCTTTCAGATATCCAGTATGGCAGTATTTAAATAGGGCTTTACAAACAGAAGTCTCTCAATTGCTCCTTGCTGAAGAGAGGCTGTAGGCACAGACACATGTGTGAAATAGCCAAATATCTTGTTTGCTTCTTCACAAAAGGAAAAAAATATCCAGCAGTACTGGTCAAAATAAGGTCCATCCACGGGAACTGCAAGAAAGGCGGGGTATAAGTTCAATCAATCAGACAGTTAGCTGTATCAACTGTAGTATGTATGTCAGAACAAATTTGAACTATTTTATCTGTACAGTGCTGCACAATTTCTTCAAAATCATGTACAGAGAAGGATCAGTATACCATCAGTTGGTGTAGGCTCCTTCTTTGGAGGCTTTTAAACAGAGGCTGGATGACCATCTGTCAGGGGTGTTTTGAATGCAATTTTCCTGCTTCTTGGCAGGGGGCTGGACTGGATGACCCACAAGGTCTCTTCCAATTCTATGATTCTAGGTGCAGAGCACAGTATCCCCAGCAAACAAACCTTATGTGAACATGATTTTAATACTTATGTAAAAGGATCCTTATGTGAACATGATTTTAATAATGATGTAAAAGAATCCTTATGTGAACAACATAATAAATTCATCAATGTGGTCTAAAAGTAATAAATAGAGTGGAACAGTAACTCAGGGCAGTTTTGCATGGACATTTTATTCTGGGCCAATCTGGACTGTTGAATTCCAGATCACCCACAGAATGGATTTTACTGCCAGCCCCCAACCCATTGCAGAGGTAAGAGGGAGTCCTTACCACCAGCCCCTGGGTTGGTTTGGAATCAGGAAGTAATCTGACTTAGTTCTGTGTTGCTGGACAGCTGCCCTTACCATCCCACTCCATAGCAGTTGCCTGGAGTGACGTCAGTCAGGGATCCAGAGTGATGGAAGGGAAATGGAGGAAACCCTCCAATCTTTCCCCCTCCCTTATCCAATTGCCCTTGCACCCTAGCCAGTGTCACTCCAAGCAAAAAGTGATGGCCACCAGCTGCGCTGCATCCAGAATGAGAACAGGAAGGGGACGGCAAGTGCTGTCTTGTGTCTCTAGTCCACCCAGGCCCAGGGAATGGGCATGGAAACAGTTGCGGCTGATTCCATCTTAGAACCAGTCCAACTGTTTAAATGGGCCTGAATTCACAGTTTGCTGCAGATTTTGGGGGGAAATTTGCAACAATCTGAAACTTTTGTTAACATGGCTCAAGACCTCTTTAAGCAACATTGGCTCATGTTATCTGGCATCTCCATGCATTATACAGCCACCACAGAGCTGATTTGCCTCCCCCTGCCACCGCCCTTAGGGTTAAAACATCTGTGTAGATGTGCCTTTCATCAATATGGAAGTTAATGTTGGGGTTGACTGAGATGCAGGTATGTTGACTTAAAGTGATAGATATTACTGTGGTTTGTTAATTTAAAGAGGGCATGATCAAATATAGAAAAAATGATTTAACAGTGTTAATATTACCTTGGTGCAAAGTTCAGTCACTGATCTGTGGATTAATTTGGTCTTCTGTACAATAAATGATAGTCCATTCTGGATACTAATATGTGTCTGGTAGATGAATAAAATCACAAAAATAGCAGTACCTTGACATCAGTAAATGAAAACAGACCTCTTTCGATATACAGCAGATACATACAAAAGAGCAAGGATAAGTTTATAATAGAAGTTTTTGCCTGGCTTTAGGAAAGACATAGCTGTGGTTTATGAGCTAATAAAATACAGTATTCAGTATTAAATGACTGAACAGCTGAGTACTAATGCATAAAGGGAATATGTCAGCACTGTTATCTTTAGTTATCTCTGTACATTATTGCTGTCTCTTGTACAGCTAACCAGCTCTATGGTGAAATGATAAAATCAATTTTTCCTTTCGGCTCAGGCATTGACAAAGGAAATGAATATACCTGTTCTCATAAAATGAGGGCTTTGAGAAGTGTTTCTTTTACAAGCTGAGCAAAAGCCATTTAAGACCACAATTCCCCCCCCCCCCCAATCACAATCATCGCACAATGTTTATATAGGTCTCCGTGTAGGAATTGTAGCCATTAATGGAATGGCGATACCACAATTGTAGCTCTGATATGATGGTAGTCATTTGTAATTTCTTATTTAAGCATTATAAATGTAACCGTGTCGGTAAGAAAAATTATAGTGATAGTAATTAGTCCCAACTTGCTTTTCCCAAATAGCAAATAATCTTTCTCTACTTTTTATTCATTTAAGTCATACTGTGCCCACTTCAAAACTTCCTTACAATAGAAGGTATTTGAACCATGTTCTCTATAGTCAAGGAGCTCAAATTGTGTAGTCTTGCTTTAAAGAAGTACCCCCCAAAATCTTCTGCCGGCAGAAATGCCTTTCTGCCAGCTAATCTCAGAAATGCATTGACAAAAATATTTTGCTTTCTAAAATCAGAAGGGGGCAGAAAAGCCAAAAAGTATGCTCTGTTATCCCCCAAAACATGTTTTCAGTCCTAGAGACTCACACACCATGTTGGTAAAAAATTAGGCCAGGCTGTTGTTGCTATTCTTAAAAATGTATTTATATCCTATCTTTGCCCTGGGATCCAAGGCATCTTGCAACCTTATCGGAGTAAATTTCTGTGTCAACATCAGTTCCTCTTTAGTTTGCGACAAAGCCCACCGACTCCCATTCCATGATGTACAGCTACTTCTGGCAGGGTTCCATTGCAAATCTAAAGAAGAACTGGCATATGCCACTGCAGCAGCAACACAAGAGGTTTCCTGTGTTACCTTGGGATCTGGGGGGGGGGGGGAGCCAGGTGGTGAATGCTTCCCTCTGTGGGATAGGACCTAGGGTAAGTTGGGCGATGCAGGGCATGGGGGATTCCCCACACCCCATGTCATGCACCACCAGATTTGTCACAATGCGTGGCAATTCCAGCTGCACATATGATTAGGTTGTTAGACCGTTGAAGAATTACAATTACTAAAGTGATTCAAATAATTTCAAATATTTCAGGTCTTAGAAAGGTTGGGATGTAACTGGCCAAGTGTAGACTTGGGTGGCCGTTAGCCATTCTGGTTAATTGAAACTGCACTGCCCCATTGCATCTCGTTCCATTTCTCTTCATAAGAAGGCAATGCAATTTGCTCTGAAGTAAGTTATAGTCAGAAATACATCCTACGTGTTTAATTTTGGCCAGATTGTTCCATTCTTTATTTTTCAGATTCTATATCCTACAATTGCATAATTGTATAGTCCACGTGAACACAACCCCTGCCAGTTCAGAGGTGTAAACACATTATGTTGAGGAAAACATTGAATTTCTTGACTGATCCTAAGAGTTTTTATAATTAGAAGAGTATGTAGTTCTTTTAATACCATATCTGTAGTTCACAGTTTTCTATCTTCTGTACATCACAGGGCCTTTTGACTTCTATTTCCACTCTTTAGTACCACCTTGTAGTTTCATAAATAGTATACAGGATTCCCCAAATAATAATAATAATAATAATAATTATTATTATTATTATTATTATTATTATTAAAATTTATTTCTAGACCACCCTCTCTCCTCAAAGGGACTTAGGGAGGTTAATCAATGCCTCAAACAAATACAAACACAGTAAAATAATACAAGATGATTCACAGAAACAACAGCAAACTTACAACAGAGAATTAAGCATTGAGATGAAAATAATAAAAAAAACAATCCAATAAGACATCGTAAACTAAAACATGAGTAAAACATTACAAATGAGATAGGTTCTGAAGGTTTGTTCTTAAGTTGAACTCCAGCCAAATGTATATGTGTGTGTGTATGTGTGTTTAGCTTTGGATAGCACAAGAAAGGGTTAACACCCCTGTGGTGTTTGTTTTGCTGTCTGTGCCCCTGTTCAGAAGATTTCACTGCACTTTCTGTCCCCGTGATCATTGGATTTTGAAAAATGTGGTTTGTTATGTAAACAAGGATTGGAGAGAAAGCTTCAGTGAAGACACCTTTTTTTCCTTCATAACTTTTTCAACAGTGAATTTCCCTTCTGAGGGTAGATTTCTCTCACTTCCTGTTTTCTCAACCCCTTTCTTAACTATGAGTTGTTTGTAAGTCTGATGTTTGTAACTTGGGGACTGCCTGCATACATATTGTCAGAATTACTCCTTTAACTGCCCATTTTGATATTTTTCTCTCCGTAGCTATCTATCTTTGCAAGAGGACCATGCAGAACAAAGCTAGACTGGAGCTGGCAGATTATGAAGCCGTAGGTATACTAATTTTACAGTTCCAAACACTTTTAAATTGAGTTTGTTGAACTCTGTTTCTGTTTTTTCTGTATAACAAACTGAGTGTGAGACTTGTGCTTTAAAAATTGTTCCTTCAGTTTTGGAAATTAGGACGAATATTATCATGGTTCATAAAGACAGCATCAACTTTTAACATGGCTGACTTTGGGATAACAATTTCTCAGAATCATGCATACATTAGGGTCAATGTTAGAAAGAGTTATACATGGAATAATGAAGCCAGAGAATATTATTTCGGAAGAGACCACTTCCAGGTTGGCTTATTTACAATCTGATTCTACAAATTAGAACAAATTTCATTCATAGAATGCTTTGGGTAAATGGCACTGTTTAATTTATCTATAAATGATACTAGTAGTGTCATTACCAAGATACTCATTTTCCCAAAGTGCATACACATGATTTTCAAGTTTATCTTGGTAATGACACTACTAGTAGATCAGTCTGTGCCATTTACTTACGTGCTGTCTTACCAATGTCAAGAGTTTTTGTTCATTGTTTCTTTACAGCCCTCATATTGCTTCTGAGCCTTCTCATCATACATTTCAGAATTGTAACTGGGGACTGAGTCTCCTTTCCCTTTTGAAATACTACATTTAAACATTTGCCTTCATCCTCTATGCCACTTTTAATTTTTGATTGCCACATCAGTGACCTCTGTTATGGTTCCAAATCTGACACTCAGTCCCAGGTATATCAGTGCCCATCCTAGTGCTGTTAGTCTGAACACTCACTACCACACCTCACTACCTCTGAGGATGCTTGCCATAGATGCAGGCAAAACGTCAGGAGAAATGCCTCTAGAACATGGCCCTATAGCCCGAAAATACCTACAAGAACCTAGTGATTCCAGCTATGAAAGCCTTCGACAATACAGTCTGAACACTGTTTGTATTGGAATACCATTTGTGAGTTTTCCAAAACATTTGGCTTCCTATCTTTGGAAATCAGATGTTGGATTGTATTCCTCTTGTTCTTCCTATTTAGCAGAGTTCTTGTTGTGTTTGTCCTTATTGTGAGGCATATCATTTCATTTCTTGTCAGGTTTATGTTGTCTGGAACATGAGCAGACTTGTATTACTATTTAAAGTTTTTAAAGTTTTTAATACCCCAGGAAAAGGAAACACGTTGTCTTATTGAACTGCAACTCTTATCGTACCTCACTAAAGTATATGCTGGGTAGGATGAGTGGAAGTTACCATCCAGCAGTCCCCATCTCTTGCATACTCCATACTTGTTCACATCTGGCTATTGCACCAGTAGGCATCTTATTCTCTTGGCTAGATCTGCATCTCTACACTGGAGACATATACAAAAGGGAATAACATACTGGTACAGTAGTCCCCCTTATACATGTGGGATACATTCTAAGATCCCCGGTGGGTGCCTGAAGCTGCAGATAGTAGTGAATCATAAATATATACTACTATAGTATTCCTTTACATACCTATGATAAAGTTTAATTTCTGGAAGTTTCCATTTAATATATTTGGACCATGGTTGACCATGAGTGACTGAGACCCCAGAAAATGAAGCTGGGGGTAAAGATAAGGGAGGGGGAACTACTGTATATCTCTAAAAATGATGGTGAATTCACACACTTTCATTCATTTAGTGCCTGTTAAGCTAGAGAAAACATTTATTCTATCTTACACTGTTTCTTAGTATGATTTACTAGGCAGATAAGAGAGAACTGTCAATTTAATCCACCAGCAATCGTAAATAAACATATTCCCACACTGAATTATAATTTAGCAGTGTTTTCACGCCCCCACATTTCTGCCTTCTTTATTTATAAATGTTGTTATAATTTTTTCTTTCCAACAGCTAGGCAATTTTGCTGAGCATGAAGTTTTTTATGAATTGACAATAGTTCTATTCAGCACCAGCAGGCATGCTCTAGTATACTTTCAGCGAAGGTATGATACAATAATCTAGGGCTCACTGAAAGGGATAATCATCAGACAGTGCCAGACAATTAGATCATCTTTTATTTTCTTCCAAGTGCAGAGCTCACATGATGAGCAATTTTATCAACACTGGTAGAGTTAATTAAAGATAAGAATGAAATCTTGGCTTTACCAGAAGCTCTGGTTAAAACTAGCGGCAAAGCTTTTCTTATGACTGCAAATAAAATGCTGAGCATTACTGTCTGTGTCCTTTCTGCCTTACTTTCTTTACCAAAGCCTCATTTGTTGTGTGCACACAGTGTAATTTTTATTCTATTGATTATCTCTTTCTGAGTTTGTGTCTGTTTTAGAGGGAAAGGACTATAGAAGGGTTGGGAGATTCTTGGGTGTTTCTAATCAATAAATGTTTCTGACTTCCTGTCATTTAAAGCCAAGAAGAAAAAAGGGTAATTATAATATGGTTGGCCTTGTGATTATCACTATTTTCCAAAAGTTGTGGGACTGGGTCCCCTGTTATGATCTGGTCATCAACCGTAATAAAGTTTATTTATTTATTATTTTCCAAGTTATTTGTCTATAAATTGGGAGCAAAGTTTGGAAAAACTTTTGTAGTTCAAAAAGGTAATTTTGCTGAACCCTTAATAATAATTTTGTTGGTTGCCATTGGGGCAAGAATGTTTCGTTCTTATAAGCCATATTACTTAAGAATGTAAACCCTGTGGCGTAATATAAAATAAATCACATGTAGTTCATGTTTTATTAGTCCACCCACTACCTTGCCAGAGAAAGAAAATATGCCATGCAGATGAACATTAAAGAACAAGTAGTTTACTCTTCGTAATTCAGTACAACTTATTTACAATCAGTTGCATCAACAGACATAATATCCTTTCTCTGCATTCACCAGCATAGCCCAAGCCTGAAAAATGTAGCAGCATCCAAAAGACCCAGACTTAGCTTGCTCCCCAGGTATAGCCCAACCAATCAGCTTCATGCATCTTATTTTAGAGTTGACACACATGCACTATCTGATTTCTTGCATTCTCCAACAAACCATACTAACTGATACTGCTGTTACAGCATGGACACTTTAATCATTTGATTCGAGTGAATGAGGAATACAGAACAGCCTATGCACATAATGAAACATTGTGTATGGGCATAGTTCAGCTATAATTGGGCATTTTCAAATTCCTACCAAATTTGTAGGAGATTTAAGCACAAGGGATGACAAGAATAAATATTAATATTTACATCTTGGACACATACACACAAACATCCATGATGTGGCTTAACACCATAACAGAGAACATGTGACCTGTTGTGAGATTATGTGTACTTCAAGACTTTGTTGGGGAAACCAATTTATGAGAGAATGCTTTGATTTTTCTGTGCAGAAAACGATTTGTAAAATTAAACTATTAAGCACATTTCTATGAAGGAAGGCCACCTGCTGTTTTTCTGCATGTTTTCTGCATAAACAACACACACCAACATTTTTGCATTGAAACCAATGTATTTTGTAGAAAATGTCCTTTGTCAATCTTGTGAATTTTGCAGTAGTACAAATAGTGTTTGAAAAATATGCGCAAACCATTGTATTCCCACATATACATAAAAGTAAAACAAATGAAAATTTACATTCGTTTTAATTTCTCACATTGAAATTGATAAGACTATTCAAGTATGGGATGATATCTCACCTATATATTCCATACATACATCCAGGAGTAAATTACATGAGGCACCCAAAATAATTCCCAGATATTGGCATACATGAAATGAGGGAACAGGCAACCATTGGTGCATGTATTTGTGCATCATTAATACTAGAAACATTGTTATATATTCTACCACAGCTCAGACTGTGGTGCTTTGATACCTATATCACATTTCACTTTTGTCCTCGCCCTTTCTTCCTGTCACTTTGAGTTTCCAGCTTTTCCAATTGATATGATCAACTTGGTAAACAAAGATTTTCAAATGGACTCCTTGTTATAACAGTAAATTCTTCTTATCTTCTCTTTACATTAGGAGAATTTAGCAAGACTACAGAGGGCTTTTGCAAGAAAGTGGGAATTCATCTTTATGCAAGCTGAAGCACAAGTAAAGTAGGTGTTTTCAGTTCAACAAATCAAAACAAATGAACAATGTGGAGGCAACTCTGTTTGCGCTAATGATACTTTCTTTATAGCTTGTGATTCAGAGTTAATTTCCTTTCTCCCTGCATGCAACATAGAGACTGCACTCCATTCAGGACTAAAGCAGTTAAAATCTTCTCCCCATATGGACGGCCTCATTCACAAGGAGAATCTCTCTGGTACTGCCGTTATCCATTGAAAATACAGACAGTCTCAGAGTTACAAACGACTCATAGCTAAGAACGGGGGGTTTTTGTGTCAGGAGGAGCTTGTGAAACTGCAAATCACTTCTGATGTGAGAGAATTGGCTATCTGCAAGGACCTTGCCCAGGGGATGCCTGGATGTTTGATGTTTTACTGTAAGAACAAACTTACAAAATCTATCTTGCTCATGACTTGGAGACTACCTGTATACTATTCCAACATGAAGACTTTACACAATGAGTCCATTATGTAGTAAATTGGCCTCAAGTGTTACGTTTTCCAGCGCCGTCATCCATGTTACATCAAAAGGACAAGTGGAGATGCTTGAAGTCGTTGATAGCTGTAGTTTTTAACTATGAATTGTTTATGACCAAATGATAATTTGCTTTGTCAAAAAGAAGTTGATTAAATAATTCCGCTCATTATTCAGATCTTTCTTTATTCAAATAATTTATGCTCTTCTGGGACTGACTCAAGAGAAACAGTTCAGCTTACATCTTTCATTTAAAGCAACAGCAAAACATAGCAAAACAATTGCTTGGTAAAATTGATTGGAAATGGCATTAAAACAGAAGCATGAGGGATAGAGGGAGCAGTTAAAAAGGGAATTTTACAAAAAAAATAGTCTTTGGATATACTATTAATTTGACCTATATGTTTTAAAAATGATAATTATATACTTGTTTTACTGTGTTTTATCACTTGTTTAGACATTGACTTGTGAGTGAATTACATTGCAAAAAGCAGTAAAATATCTGTAAAATATCAAAGATCAGGTGAGAACATTTACAGTGCCCTAAGAACTTTTCTTCTTAGAAAGAAAAGCCACCTTTTTCTTGCCTTTATATTATCTATAACAGTCATACACCAGAACAAAATATATTTCTGTGTGTGTGCTTTAAAGATGCCTATCAATTTCCAGGAACCCCATGAATTTCATAGGATTCTTAATAGCCCCATTATTTTTTTTAAAAGTGTGCTTTCAGCTTCCGGCTTTTTCAAATTACATTTGGAGTCTACCAATTAAGTGACTAAAGCTTTAGTTGCTTAACCTACTAATCAAACCATACAGCTCTCCTATAATGAAAAGAAGAACTGTGGCTTTTGGGAGACTAATCAAAATTAAGCTGGCTATTGTCACTTGCCACTACCAATTATCTTATTATCAGTGGAAGCCCTTTAAAAATTCATTTTATTCTTGTGTTCATAAATATTGCTGATTTTTATGGCATCCCTACACATGTCAGCCATGAAACTAGAATAGGCATCCATTCCCCCCCCCCCCCCCCCCGCCTTCCCACCCCCAGCTCCTAGGCAGCTTCATTTGATGGCTTCTCTCCTATGACACGTTTTCTGCCCCCATCCGCTGGGCATTCCCAGAGCCTCAGGCAATGTTAAATGAGTCCCATTAGTCAGTGTCAACCACAGTGATAAGTGTAGGATGTTCATCGTTAAGCTCTTGCTGCTAAGACTATTAGATTTATGTGTCTAATATTAAGGACATAGGTTTAACAATAGTGGCCATCATGTTATTGCTTATTATTTCTATGGTTTTCAACATTTTGGGGGGTCTAAAAGCTTTGTTAATTGCTGTGTTCTTTTTGATATGTATAAGAAGTGTAATACAGGCCTAACAAAACAATCCAGCATATTATATTTTGGACAGTTATGTAGGCATAACTATCACAGGATGCTAAATGTAATCAACATTTAACCTCTATATATTCTTGCTTATCTCTCTCTCTCTCTCTCTCTCTCTCTCTCTCTCTATATATATATATATATATATATATATATATATATATATATATATAACCACATTTATATCCTTCCCTTCTCAACCTCAACGGGGACTCGGGGTGGCCTTATGAAGGCAACAATTCAGTGGTATATATATTAATACATTGGCAAATAAACAAAAACCCATTAAAACATAGCATTAAAACATCAAAATCACATGATCCAAACAGTATTCCAAGGCTGGTCTGAGTCATTGTTATATTAATTATACTAATGAATAACCTCAGGTTTAAATGCACCAGATCCCATCAGATCTAGGAAGCTATGCTGGGTAAGTCTTAGTTACTACCTGGATGGGAGACTGCCAACAAATGCTGGTTGCTGTAGGCTACATTTCAAAGGAAGGAACTGGGAGAAACACCTCAGAGTAGTCCTTTTCAAAGATGTCAGGAAGACAGTCAACTTACTTGAAGTGTGGTGTTCGACAAAAGTTCTGCAGATGCCATGTACTGCTAAAAAGACAAACAGCAAATCAAGCCTTAACTATCCCTAGAAGCCAAGATGACTAACCTGAAACTGGTCATATCATGAGAAGACAATGACTCAATGGAGAAGACAATAATACTTGGTAAAGTAGAAGGCAGTAGGAAAAGAGGAAGACTGCATTCCAGGTGGCTAGACTCAGTTTAAAAAGCCATAGCTCCAAATCTGCAACACTTGAGAAAAGCTGTTGAGATTATGTTGGCTTAGAGATCTCTTATTCATGGGGATGCCATAAGTCAATGCTGACTGAATGGCAGTTAAAAACAACAAAAAACCTATAAAGTTCACAGGGTTGCCATAAAAACAACAGGCAAATTGAACACATATACAAAAAAGGTTGGGAGGCCTGTACCATTTTTTATATTGAGGAATTCCAGTTTCAGTCAACCACAGTCAGTCCAGCTAATGGCAAAGAATTATGGATATTGTATTTCAGAAACATCTGGAGGTCTACAGATGTCTCCTTCCTGATCTAAAAGTCGGGTTTCAGCAACCTGAAAGAAAGTGTAGCAATCACATACAAACACAAATAATTGTGAATATATTTACTTTGTGAAGAGTGAGCAGCAAGACTTCTGCATAACTGTTGGAGAGAGTGATTTGGTTCTGATTTGGTTTGGTGTTCTACAATCCTAATCCTAACCCCCTTTGCCAAAATTCTACAGTGAGGAATTATCTGAATTCTCATGTTGGTCCAGTTGATAGTGGTATTTATTTGTTATTTATTTGGTTGTTTCAGAATTGACAGGAAAAAGGATAAAACGGAAAGGAAAATTTTGGATAGTCAAGAAAGAGCCTTCTGGGATGTTCATAGGCCAGTGGTAAGATTTTTTTTCCTTGATAGCCACTCCAGATCACTTTCTTATGTGTAGAGGGATGTGCTTTTGCATGATGGATCTGAAAGAACTGCTATTGCTGCTATTTGTTTTGAAACTCTCCTGCCACTTACGGTACTTTCAACTGAAATCCCATTTGAAATCTTTCAAAAGAATTACAGTATTTTGCAGTGTGAGATAACTATGAGACAACTTGAATGTATCTATTTTGTTCTACTTTGTGTTATTACTTCTAAAGCATGTCTTATCCGACACATTTGTCTTGTTTCCTGAAATGTTGGTTATAAACCCCTTCACAACTCACTTTTTGCTCCAAAAAAGTGTTGGTGTAGGAAATAGAGTAAGAAATTGTTTTCTGATCTGGGAGACTGGCTATATTTGTTACTTGCCTTTTAAAACCTTATCATTTTAATGCCATCACCATAAGATGACAGGTGACCAGAAGAATGAGCCAGGGTTGGTACTATATTTTTGCCAATTGATTGCAACTCCATATCTGTGGATCAGCAACCACTGATTTTTGGTTCCACAGCATTTCATGAACAATCACTTGTTCATGGAGCACCATTTTGAATAGTTTTGGTTACAGGTAAACAACCATTCCTTTTTCTTCATGGTCTCTGAAATATGGGACAATTGACATCCCAGCCTGAGATGTAAAGGGACACGAGACATTTTATTTAAATACAGGACTTTCCCTTAAAATCCAGGATGCCTGGAAACCTGATGTAGATACACCCTTAAAGAGAAAAATGGGCATGTACTCTTACGTTAAAAAAAGCACAGAATAGGCCAAATTCCACTTGAAAGTACTTTACTTTGGATGAACCATGCTCTTAAAAATGAGAAGCACATAAAAATACTCAGATAAATGTGGAAATCCTGATTTATGAAGTCCATGAAAACAAGTTTGAGTCATCTTTGATTCTTCTTTAGTTCATACGCAAATAAAGTTTCCATGGTACAGTTTGCTTAATTAATGGAGGGGGAAGTAACCAAGATGCTTCTCAAATACTACCCAGAAGCAGGTGTAGCAAGCAAAGGCTGATTCTCCTGTGATTAAAAGCCCTGACAATGATAGATGTTTGGCATATTTCCAGGCCAGACTTGTGAAAGGAAATTAATAATGGCCAGTGTTTTATTGTTGGTTTCAACGCAGCCTGCATTACCATTTATAATGTAATGACTCCAGACAATTTGCAGAACTACGTGAGCTCTGCACTTCTGGGAGTTGTAATCTAAAAAAGTAACTTTATGATGCTCTATTCATATGCATAATGACTTGCTAGCCAGTTTTCTGTGCAACAGAACAAATACTTTTGAGAGTTTGAACATAACTCCTGTTTGTGCCCATCATTTTTCCTCTCCCATGAATCAGATAACAAAACAAGCATGATATTGAGTCATCTAGAGCTTGATACTATAGTTAAGGGTGTTGATTAAAACTAGAATATTCTCAAGGTTGGAAATGTTCCTTTTTTTTAACTACAAGCATTCTAGCCCTAGCCAATGTGCCCTTTGACAGAGGCCAGTTCTTCTGTTTTGTGATTTTCATGGTGAATGGAAACAGATCCCCAACTCCTTCAGCCACAGAAAGAAGAGTAATACCCTATGCTGTGCTGGAACTGTGGACCATTCACAAGTAATAGAATTGGGTTCTACCTTACAGTCTCTTGCACCTTTAAAATAATTGCCAAATATTGGGGCTATAGCATTTGTGTGAATGATAGCAACTCTCTTCTAGAAGAGTCAGTGTTTGAAATTTTTGAATATTTAGAAAACAGAATGATATGAATATTTAATACTATTGATATGTCCTAGTAATCTCCTAAATGTGTCTTTTTCAGCCAGGCTGTGTGAATACAACAGAAATGGACATCAGAAAGTGCCGACGCATGAAAAATCCACAGAGAGTCAAAAAGGCAAGACGCATCCACCCCAAAGTCTAGAGACCTTGGAAATGAGGCTATTCAAGTTTGGTGGGATCTTTTTGTTACCTGCAGGGCTTATAGTCTTGGGACATTTTACACCAATAATGATTAAAAATAACCCTGTGTCTCAGAGCACTGTAGTTAAATATTTCTATATGTTTGTTTACATGCTTGTTTGTTATTATTTGTCAAGGGACAAATTTGGGGGGGGGGGGGGGGTTGTATAAAGTCCCTAAGTTGAAAATAAGTTCTTGATATTTCAGTATAAAGCCTAAATCAAATTGTTAGTCTCAAATTGAGAAGACCCACTGGATCAATGGTGCTAACTGTTGACTTAATAACTTCCCACTGATTTGATGCTTCCACTCTGGGTAGAACTAACAATTAGATTTAGGCCATAGTCACACATGGAGAGATTGAGCTAGGAATCAGCACTCTTGCATTCATTCCATTCATTCCCTCAAATTCTCTCTCAAATATATGTAAACCTTTATAACCATGGCAACTGTACTTTGACTGTTGGATTTGTCTCCCAAAAGTAGAGGTTTTGTACAAATATATGCACATTTCTGTTCTTCATGGAAATATAACTAATACATATGAGCTCCATAGTCTGAAACAACTTTTGTTAAATGAGGTCTAGCAACATTTAGTTAATAGTGAGACTTGAGCACATTTGTTCATTATTTTCTAGTAGCATGGGACTTACTACATCTCCCACACAGCCAGGTGCACCATGTCAATACTCAGTTGGTAGAGGCTCAATTTGTCTGTTTCTTAACTCTGTAAGAAACACAACTGATCACAACCCAACATATGTGATCATTTAGCTTTACATATAGCAATATCACTGTATACCTAAAGTATGGAACCTTATTTGTAATGCAGTTGCAATTATAGTTAACTCAGAAGGAACTAGTTATAAGGCCAAACAAGGTGTAGGGTTACAGTCTGTGCTGGATGGGGTTACACTCCCCCTGAAGACGCAGGTTTGTAGCTTGGGAGTGATCCTGGACTCATTCTTGCACCTGGAATCCCATGTTTTAGCGGTGGCTAGGGGAGCTTTTGCACAATTAAACTTGTGTGCCAGCTGCACCCATAAGTCAGACTTGGCCACGGTAGCCCACGTTCTGGTTACATCCCATATAGCTTACTACAACTCACTCTATGTGGGGTTGCCTTTTGGAAGCTTCAATTGATCCAGCAGGTGGCAGCCAGGTTGCTCACCAGAGCAGCATACAGGGAGCATACCATCTCCCTGTTATATCAGCTCCAGTGGCTGCCAGTCTGCTACTGAGCACAATTCAAAGAGCTGACTTTCGCCTATAAAGCCCTAAATGGTTCTGGCCCAGTTTACCTGTTTGAAAGTATCTCCCCCTATGAACCATCTCAGAGATTAAGATCATCTGAGGAGGCCCTGCTGGGCTTAGGTGGCTGAGTAGGTTTAGCCTGGAGAATAAAAGTTTAAGAGGGGACATGTTTAAACATTTGAAAGGAGTGCACATTGAACATGGAGTCAGCTTGTTTTCTGCTGCTAAAGAGACTAGGACACAGCGCTATGAATTTAAACTGCAGGAAAAGAGATTCTACATAAACATTAAGAAGGACTTCTTTGTGGTAAGAGCAGTGCAACAGTGGGATATGCTGCCTTGGAGCCCAATGGAGTTTCCTTCTCTAGGGGGTTTTAAACAGAGGCTGGATGACCATCTGTCAGGAGTGCTTTGATTGTTATTCCTGTATGGTAGGAAGTTGGATAGGATGGCTCTTAGTGTCTTTATCAATTCTATGATTGTGTTTATACCCATAAAAGCTTATCCTAAAATAAAAACCAGCGAGTCATAATGGTGCCGTCACATTCCATTTTTTCTCCACCTAACTTCCTCCTTTATAAGAGATGAATTTGTTTCCATCCTAAAAACATATAACTAAGAACTCTCCTGTTTGAAACAATAATAAACTATACATGTAATTTATACTGATCTTTCCTTTTTATTATAGTCAGTTTATGGAGTCACAGAAGATAGTCAGTCCCAAAGCCCTGTACATATGCCCTCCCAACCAGTTCGAAAAACAACAAAAGATGATGTCCGGAAACAAGTAAGTAATCTGTTCTGAAATGCCAGAATTATATTCCCACCCTTTTCTTTGTAATAGTGCTATTGTTGAAATTGGAAGCTTGTTCCACTATCAGATAGGTAGAGAATTATGTAATAACAGAGGGAGGGAGGGAGAGATACCTTTCATATAGAAAGCTCAAGGTGGTGGATTGGAGTTCAGTTATGTGGGGTAGATCAGGCCCATGAGCACAGTGAGGACTAGAATCTGGATCTCTGAATTTCCTGCCCACCAATCTGATCTCCGAACACCACATGTTCTATTCCTCCACTAAAAGTATATAAGGGAGAAGAGGGGCAAGTCAGAAGCTCCATCCTTGTTTACACTGCAATTGTCAACTATCCCCATTGTTTTCACCATTGTTTCAGGTTAGCATCTGCAGTGGTTAGGCTGCTGCACACATATAGGCTTCCAACATTATTTAAACCCTAGATGGGGCTTGTCCAGTGTTGGGTATTAATAAATGACCACTGTTAAATAGTCAGAAGAACATAAAGTTTATTTAGAATAAAAATAGCAAATGCAAAATCAAGATTGAAAAATAGGACATCACACCCTAAGGTTCTCTAAGTACTTATAAAGCATTGCAGATGCACTATCTTTTAGAGGAATACCTAGAAATATAGCTGATGTTCCAGATGCCCCACAAACATTATGTTTCAGAGGTGACACTCAGTGGCCAAGTTCCTACATTGCCCACTTTAACATAAGCATTCTGCAAGTAGGAGTCAACTATCGCTCCCTACTCGCCACTCAGGACTCATACATTTATTGCAGTAAAACTGATTTTATTGTTGGTGGAAATTATGATGAGCTATGCCAGAAACAGACCAATAATGTTTTGCTTCAATGAATGATGTCATTGATCTGCATTTAGCTATGGGGCATAGCCAGATGCATCTCTGCTGTCCCACATTATCTAGAAGTCACAGAATAGCCATCGAGAGATTATAACAACAAAACCGAATATTGTAGGACTGGGCTTTAGTCTTTGCATGGGATGGAAGAGTATACCAACCTCTGCAACAACTAACAAAGGTATACACAAGCAGACCTAGCTTTAATACATCACTAACAGGATACCAAACAATGTCTTAAAAAGGATGATATTTGAATATTCTTGATTCTACCATGAGTGACTGTAATGACATCATGTCAAAAAAGTAATCTAAGTAATAGGACCCCTCATGAATGTTCAGTCTTTTATGACAAAAACCTATGTCACTGTTGGTGTCTAGTTTTTTTTTTTTTGGGGGGGGGGTGTTTTGTTGTTGTTTGTTGTTTATTTGTTTGTTTGTTTGCTGGAGTTGCAATATTCCAAACATATCTGAATACACTGACAAATTTACCAAGCTTTGTTTTCCTAAATCATTAGTTTGGGGACTGGCACAGCAATAGGGACCCAACACTTTTCTTCTTCTGCCAACCACTCAGAATTAGAAAATTGCAGAATAGATCTTTACAGTCATCAGCAAATTAGCAGATGTAATTTTTTTTGCCTTATACTACCCAGACTGAGCAAGCTTAACATAAGATTATCAAGCTTTATACTAATGAAAAACGGAAAGTTTTTATGCTCAAAGCTCTTGACCCTGGATGGGTTGCTTCCTTCCCTTTTTTGCCATATCTCTGTGCCCACTGGTATCTTGCAGTCTGAGACAGTTTCCTCACTCCGTTTCATCACAGAGCTGACTCTGAGCCCAAACAATCAGGATTCCTTAAATTGTGTGGGGAATCTACACTGACTCCCTGCTGCAGATATCTGCTCTCCAGGTCATGGGGGGCCATGAGGAATTCTAATTACATGCAGGATTGAAACACCAGCATAATGTTAATTTGTTGACCACCAGATTAAACAAAGGCACCATATGTTCATTTTGATCATTAATCTTGTGCTGTCATAGTTTGATCCCTAATTCCAAATGCATTTGCTTCAGAGCAGTTCGGTTTATGTCAAAGAGCACTTGCACATAATACAACCAACATGACTGCACTTGCACATCATGCAACCAACATGATTGTAACGCTCTGATCATGTCTGAATAGTCGGGCCCTTACCCACTTATTCCACCCATATAATAGTAAATAATAGTAAAGCAGGAGGTCTGTGCTTGCCAGTTCACTCCAAAAGTGTACCAGAGTTTCCAGGAAGATTTGTAAAGAAATCAATATCTATCCATACATGATGGTGTAAGGCATTTGAACTATGAAAATAATATCAAGGACATTATTGTCAGAACATCCAGAATATGTTTACTGTATCTTTAAGAGCTGTTTTCATTTCCTTTCATCAGATAACATTCCTGAATGTGCAGATAGACAGACACTGTTTAAAAATGTCTAAAGTAGCAGAAAGGTAAGTAATCTGATTCATATTATTCATTGTTGCTGTACTGTTGCTCTGTCATTGTGTTGTTTCTTCTTCCTAAAGGATTAAATACAGTATTTGCAAAATATAAAGACTTGGATTCACGAGTGGCTTTCAGATGACATATTCTCTGATTTCTAATCAGATAATCTAGGATTAGTTGTATATGGATATGGACTCTCTCGCTTAATACCACACTTCCATGTTTGTACACCAGTTTGGCCCGGGATTGGAGACTTTGATTACATCATTTTGCCACTTCCATCCTCTGAAATATACAGTGTACTTCACCAAGGGTTCAATGGAGGGCTCCCATCTAAGTACTAACCACATGGGTTCCAAGATCTAGTGCCTTTAGGCCAGTGTTTCTCAACCTTCCTAACGCCGCAACCCCTTAATACAGTTCCCCATGTTGTGGTGACCCACAACCATAAAATTATTTTTGTGCTACTTCATAACTGTAATTTTGCCACTGTTATGAATTGTCTGACATGTAGGATGTATTCACTGGGCCAAATTTGGCACAAATATCCGATACACCCAAATTTGAATACTGGTGGGGTTTGGGGAAGGGGTGTTGATTATGATTTTGGGAATTCTAGTTGCTGGGATTTATAGCTCACCTGCAATCAAAGAGCATTCTAAACTCCAGCAGTGATGAAATTGAACCAATCTTGACACACACAACTCCCACACTCAACAGAAAATACTGGAAGGGTTTTCTGGGCATTGACCTTTAGTTTTGGAGTTGTAGTTCACCTACATCCAGAGAGCACTGTGGACTCAAACAACGATGGATTTGGACCAAACATGGCATACAGAGCCAACATGGCCAACTGTGAATACTGGTGGAATTTGGGGAAGACTGACCCACAATTTTGGGAGTTGTAGTTCACCCACATCCTTATACATTTTCTAATGGGAGCATTAATAAAAAAACAAAGGAAAGACTGACTTTTTCTAATAAACAGCGTTACAAATTACCTATGCTGTTTCTGCTGATCCTCCTCCTCCTGATGCTGCTGGGCCACACTCAGTCCCACATTGTGTGGACCCTTTCCCCCCTGTCTTGAAGGGACTCTAGCCTCGTGCACTCTCCCTCGCCCGTGCATGCACACCATGCCACCATGCGTTGAGCACTCCTGCTCTCCATGCCCCTCTTAGTCTCAGAAACACTCCTCCTCTTGGTTGAGAGGACAGCTGAGAGGCTGACCAATCACAGCAGAAGGAGGGCTTTTGGTGGGGAGGATTCGTCATCTGTTTAAAAAAGGAAGAGAAGGACAGGCAGAGAGATCTTCAGCCTTTTCTGCCAAAAGGGTTCCTAAGACCATCAGAAATATGTGTTCTCTGATGGTCGTTAGCAACCTCTCTGAAACCCCCCTCGCGACCCCCCAGGGGTCCCATCCCCCAGATTGAGCAATGCTGCTTTAGGTCCTTTTTCAGTTTAGAGAACACAATGTTCCTGTTTCCCCGACCAGAAGAGGGACTCTTCAGACAGCTCAAAGCATCTGTATAAAACAATTTCCAACACTTCTTCCATTTCTGTTGTAATAATAACAACAACAACAACAACAACAACTTTATATCCTGCCACCATCTCTCTGAAGGAGGGGAGGCATACAAGCAGGACCAAGCCTAGCACAACAGAGTTTACCAACTAAAAACACATTTAAAAACATAATAAACATATAACAATCTGAATTAAACAATTAAAAACAGCCAAGTATCAAAACAACATTAAAATGAATCAAAACAGATCTCAATAACCAGAACCAGGAATAGGGATGGCAATGTTTTGTAAATAAAAATCATCCCACTCCACTCACCTCAACAGTGATTTACTTCAACTGCTATTTGTAGAGAATAAGGTGGGTTAACGTGCAAAATAGGATGGCTTAATATTTTATGCAAGAAGCTTGATCTGGAGTGCTCTTCCTCTCTCTGTCAGAATAGCAAGGAGACATCAGAATTCCTTACTTTTCAACCACCCAGAGTTCGTTGTTATATTATAATGCAGCAGAAGTCTGCTCACTTTGAATAGTGTTTGAAAGGCAGGATCATTAACTATGGTTTGATCTTGTTTTTTTAAAGTGTAGTTTAAAGCTGGGGTGGTCCAAATGGAGCTCTCTAGAGGTTGTTTAATTGCAATTCCAATAATCAAAGATGATGGATGTTGGAAGCTGCAGTCCTAACTTTGCAGCACCACATTTTTCCCAGTCCTGTTTGAAACAAACCAGTTCAAATGCAGAGAGGAATTCACATAGTTTAAAAGAGAAAGCAAAGGATTCTGATTTCCCTTTTGTCACCACACAAAATGAGGAAGAAAGAATTAATAGAGAACATGAGTCCAAAATTCAGATATTTAACTTTGAACCAGGCATTCGTGCAGCCTCCTTCTGTATAATGTTTGCCAATTGTTTTGATCTATAGTTCCCAACATTCCTGATTATTGACCATGCTAGCTAGGGCTAATGAGAGTCAAAATTGAAAATGAAGAATCCACAGTATTGGAGAAGGCTGGTTTAATGTTACAGGAGGTGGAATGAGGGGGATTCTTGCTGAGTGAATTAGGAGGAGGGGACACTTTAAGCACTTTTCAAGATCATTTGACCTTACAGCTGAAATAAAATGCTGAAGTCAGCACAGCCAGATCTGTTGATTAGAAGGGAACTGTGATTAAACAGTAGCCTTTTCAGAGAGAAACCTCATTTTAATGGCTTATTGTTTCAGCTGAGACTGTAGCAAATTTGCAGATCATAATGTATGAAGTTCTATTTTCTGTGATCTGTGCAGCATTAATTCACCAATTCGTTTTTGCAATATTTTTACTAATAGAGGAGACCTTGGTTAGAAGACTCTGGGGGAGGGTGGAGGTTTGGAACTGAATTGCAGCAGTATCAAATCATAATGCTGTCCTAGTTTGTGTGTGTTTTGAACTGGAACAACTATCATGGACCGCTATGCAAAATACTACACTTTTCAACTGATGTGGTTGAAGACAGATAATTCTAGCTCCCAACTTTTGACAGTGACATGTTGAAAACACAAAAAACCTATATCACAAAAAATACAAAAAACATAATGACGACAAAAGTGGTCCAGACAGCTCTTTAAAATTAACAACCTACTGTGATCTAAATAAGTAAATAAGCATTAGCAGCAATAGCAGAATAAAAATCAGCAAACGAACAAAGTGGCTAAAAATGCTGTGAATCTTAATGTGATATTAAATCTTACGTGATCTTAAAATAATGTTGAAGTGCTTGAAAAAATTAAAAGTTCTTCACTCTGGATGAAAACCCTCATAATGTAGATGCCATAGGAGTTTCTCTCTGTAAAACATTCCATGATGTTAGTATGACCAAAAGAGCCCCTCTCCCTGCCATAAATACCCCGAGAAATGGGCAATTACAGGATTCTTAGGAGAACCACACCAATTAAAAAATGATGTACAGGCAGTCCCCAAGTTACAAAAATCCGAATTACAAGTGACTCATCGTTAAGAACAGGGGGAAAGAACAGAGAGTGAGATAAATATATACCTAGGAAGGGAAATTCACTCCAGAAAGAGTTGTTTTGCAAAAAAAATATCTTTAATGCAGCTTTATCACCAATTCTTATTTTCACAACAAGCCACATTTTTCAAAATCTAATTATCACATGGACAGAAAGTGAGGTGTATATGACTGGAGTTACACTTAAAAATATTCCTGTTATGACTTACAAATAAATTCAGCTTGAAAGCAAACCTATAGAACTCGGCTTGTTCATAACATGGGGACTGCCTGTAATGTATACATTCTCAGCTAACAGATGTAAAACCAAAACAAATTTATTGTATAGATAAACTGATATAATAAGGGGAGTGACCAGAGCATGTGAATTGACATTCCCTCGACATGTTCACTGTACAAAAGTTTTGTATGAGCACACACATGTTTACATATACTTAAAGATACAGGCACTATCTCTGGATAAGAAATCAACATCCCAATAAAAGCACTAACCTTATTCTCTTTGCTTCCATAAGCTCCAGATACAGTCACAATTGTATAGGATTGCCTGTTTGTTTGTTTTTTTTTAAAAAAAACCTAATGTACTTACAGATTCATTCAAGGACATTTTTGGGATTTCCAAAAGATTCCCTACTTGATGTGAATTTCTAAAACTTCTATTTTCCTGTCTTTTTTGCTGTTTCCCTGTAAAAGTGAAGACTTTTCCCTATTCCAGCCTTTATACCTGAGGATTTATTATTGCTCTTTGCTACTTCCAAAGAAGTGGGTTTATATTCACAAAAGCTCATGCAAAAATAAACAGTCAATTAGACTTAAAGGTGCTTCTATATGGTTCACCCCTCCTTCCTTTTTCCTTTTTAATGTGAGCCACAGTAGCCATGAAATGCAATTAATGAAATGAAATAAGACAAGGAGGAGCTAAAGGCCTCAAGGCTTTATCGGTGGAACATGCATTGGTATGGAGCATTGTGATTCTAATTCCTTCTGATATGACAGCGACCTTCCTGTGACAGTGTCAAGAGAAAACATATTTGCACCACCAGCTGCAGCATTTCTGATTTTCAGAATGCATCTATACTTTGTGGGCAAGGCAACATTTGAAGTGGAACCAGTAGCCAGTGTTAGGAACCTTGCTTCCACTTCTTAGATTTGCAATTTATTTATTCACAGTCACACTGCTAGAGCTGCAAATCAAGTATGGAAAGAGATTCCATTGATACGTTCCAGTGAACTTTTGCATTACAGAAAAAAAATGTTTCAACATATCAGTGCTGAAAATCACATTGAACTGATTGTCAACATTTACCCATGCACTTCTGAGTTTTCAGATGTTTGCAAAATTTATCCAAGAATGTTACCCTTTACACATGTCAGGCATTCACTGTAAGGGTTTTTCAGAGTTAGAATCGAATGTATTGTTTTCAAATGTAACTTGGCATTTTATTCATTATGTGTTCAATTACATTTCTATCGTCCAATAAACCCTCTTATTCTCCACTTCATCCTCACATCAAATCTGTGAGAGAGGACAGTCCCAAAGAGTGGCTGACCAAAGGCTCCAATGGGCTTTGTAACTCGGGGCCCTTTCAAACAGGCCCTATATCCCAGGATCTGATCCCAGGTTTTCTGTTTATCCCAGATTATCTTGTAGTAGGGACTCTTATAATCCAGTTTAAAGGAGAAAACCTGAGATCAGATCCTGGGATATAGGGCCTTTCGGGGGGGGGGGGGGGGGGGCTCAGTGGGGATTACAATATGGATTTTCCAAAAACTAACCCAACACTGCTTACATTATGAACCCCATATCTGCAGGGATTATGTTTTGGGCATACTGCAGAAATGTAAAACTGCAGATAATAATGAACCATATTGAAATGAGTGATCTCCATAGAGTCGCGCAGGATGATGTAGAAAATGGCTAGAGAGAACACCTTTCTAGCATTTTATTTATTTATTTCCAACTTTTCTACCCTTCCCTTCTCTACCCCGCCCTTAGACTCAGAGCAGCTAATACAGGCAGCAATTCAATGCCACAATATCAATAAACAACAGTATAAAACCATAAATGCATAAAAAATTTACAACAGTAACATTAATTATATAATCAAACAATCACATAGCAATTTCCAATTATCGTAACAGTCGTATGGTCCAGTTCCATGTTCGAAGTGCTGCTGCGCCTGCTAGCTGAAAACCTGGTTCAAAAACAACAATTTTAGTTTTTTTCCTAAAGGAAAGGAGGGAGGATGCTGATCTAATCTCACTGAGGAACGAATTCCACAAGCAGGGGGTCACCACCAAGAAGGTCCTGTCCCTCATCCCACTAGACGTGTTTGCATGGCCAGTGGGACCAAGAACAGGGCCTCCCCAGCAGATTTTAAACTACGAGGTGGAACATAGAGGGAGATACGTTCGAACAAGTAAGATGGGCTTTATAGGCGCTCCAGTGAGTAATCTGGCTGCCGCCCGTTGGACTAGTAGGAGTTTCCAAACAGTCTTCAAAGGCAACCCCACGTAGAGTGCATTGCAGTAATCTATTCGGGATGTAACCAGAGCATAGACCACCATGGCCAGATCAGACTTCCCAAGGTATGGGTGCAGCTTTAACTGTGCAAAAGCTCCCCTGGCCACCGCCAAGACCTGGGGTTCCAGGCTCAGCGATTAATCCAGGATCACTCCCAATCTGGGAACCTGTACTTCAGGGGGAGTGTAACCCCATCCAGCACAGGCTGTAACCCTATGCCCTGTTCAGCCTTTCTACTGGCCAGGAGGACCTCTGTCTTGTCCGGATTCAATTTCAATTTGTTAGCCCTCATCCAGTCTGACATAGCAGCCAAGCACTGGTTCAAGGTCTGAACTTAGTGACAGGTGGGAAGGAGTGACAGATTTGGACATCATCTGCATACAGATAACATCTTGCTCCGAAACTCCGGATGATCTCCCCAGCAGCTTCATGTAGATGTTAAACAACATTGGGGACAATACTGAGCCCACATTTTTAACTGATCAGTTTCTGGTGGAAGCACTCCATTGAATTGCATTGAAGACCTAGAATATATCTAGAGAAAATGCCTTGCCAGCATTTCTAAGGCCCCTTCTACACACCTGTATAAAATCCAGGTTTCTGCTTTGAACTGTGTAGATTCAGATAATTCACTTCAAAGCAGATGAAATTGATTATCTGAGTTTATATTCTAGATTATATGGTAGTGTAGAAGGGCCCTAAGTTTTCCAGCACAACTTTATGGTCAACCTCTGGTGGAAGCCTATCTTAGAACAGTGTTTCTTAACTTTTTCCACTCGCAACTCCTTTTGGCCTAAGAAATGTTTTTGTGACCCTTGGTGTATAAGTATATAAAACAGGTATAAAAATCAAACATTTACTGATAACAAATCAGCATTTTTAAGGCTTGCCAAAGAGGCTGATTTTTCTTTTTATGAGGTTTATGAGTCAACTATAAACACTACTCAACAAATTTGATTAATGCCTAAAGCAGTCACTAAGTGATGTTCAGAAATCTTTTCCCTTAGGTACTATTACAAAGTGGTAAGCTTCAGCTGGCCAAAAGAGTGGATTAGATTAGAAATTTGAACTTTATTCAACCTAAAGGGATATAACCATAAGGTTTGACTGCCATGCATATTTATAGTATGGAAAAGATAGAATTAATAAAAAAATTCCACAGACATCCCATAAGAGCAAGTCTATTAACAATCTGAAAAAGGTATAAGGCGGGGATGGAACAAAAAAAAAATCTGTTATGGCTACAACTTCCGGAAGCAACATTAAATTCATTTTTAATGAGGGTTCGATGGAATGGCATACCTGTATTATATGTATTTGATTATTTTTGTTTCTCATATTCTGTATGCCACTAATTCACTTAATAAAAACTTTTAACCAAGATATCATCTTTTACTCTTGCCAATTTTTGGGACCCCAAGATTGATCTAAGGAGACCCTATTTGGGGTCAAGACCCAGAGTTTAAGAAGTAGTACCTTAGAATTACACTTGAGGACATATTTTTTTTAGAAAAGAATATCTTTTTCCAGACATGGACAATTGAATTCATGTGTATTCGCCTCACAAAAACGGGAGTTGTATTGTATATATTAATTATTAATTTGTAAAATTTTAAACATGAGAATTTCCTCTTAAAACTAGAAACACTGTTTTGATGGTATTCTCCCATAAAGCATGTAGCAATGGCTCATGCAACAAGAGAATGAAATAGTGCCACATATCCTATCCGTAAGAATACACATTGAAGATGCTGTTTCAGTGAGATTTTTTTATATGTGATTAATAATTTAAGCAGAATATTAGCTGACAAGATTAAACAACTTAAACAAGTTCTTTTGTGTGATTGATTTCTGTGAGACAGAGTTATAGATTGGTTAAACAAATTAAGGATTGGCAAACCAAACTCTCTCCAGTAGAAATCGATGGCACTAAGAAGTGCTTAATATTGACTGGAATTAAACAGAAGTTACATTCATGAGTATTGTTGTAGATCACTGATGTTTTAGAGAGAGAGAGAGTTGTGGGATTTCCTGTGGGATTTCCTGATGCATGAAGTGATGAAGATTTAAGGCAAGAGAATGATGCTTCTCTCAGTGAGAGATCTGATTTGGAAAATGCAGGCCTCCAAGATCAGTCAAAAGAGCCAGATCCTGGAACATTAGATAAGGAGTCCAACGGAGTAATAAGTGATATTGAAGGCTCCCAGGGAAAACCACCTGGAGATCCAGAAATCAACAAAGGCCTTCATTTACAAATCAGAGCAGAAAATAGGCATCACAGGGCAGAGCTTCTGTGTGGGAAAGTTGGGGAGAGAAGTCATGGGAGATGAAATGCTTTCATGGATAGCTTTCAATTGGCAAGTTACTTTAAAGTTACTTAAGGCACATAGCGTTTTGAGTAAAAAGCTAGGCCTGAGTTCCAGGTTCATGTTTCAAGTCAAGCCTTTGGTTTTGGGATGCAGGTTTCTTGGAAGTTACTATGTTTCTGTTTTTGTATTCATGATAAAGTTTTACTAAGGATACAACTTTGCTTGTGGACTTAAGCAGTTCTTGTGATTTTTGACTATTCCTAGACTGTATTACCTTTGAATCTGTATGAGACATTTGGATTCCTGTTGGATTATTGCTTACAGCTAAACCTTTTTGGATATACCTCCTCTTTCTCTTTTCCTGAATTTTTCCTACACTTTTGATATATTTTACAGTAAACTGTTTTCTTATATTCTGGACTCTTGCGTGGTGCTGTGGTCATAGGGGTTTCCAGGCCTGGGATGCAAAATGTATCCTGGTAGACAGTAAAAGACTTGTTGTTTTCCCCTCAGCCTTGTAAGAGGCAAGATACTATAAAACAGAGTTCATACCCTGTAAAAATAAGCCTTTATATCATCTTTATTTCTGCAATTGATTGGCTCCTAGTGAAAGCTTGTCCGGATTCCTTATTTTGCTTTACATCCCCTTATAATATGATCAGTGGCCATGATGGAATTGCAGTGTTAAAAGTGATTTTTTTTTTGTTAAATCTCTATGAATACTTTGTGGTGTAAATATGAAATTTTCAATTGATGTCTAAAGGGAATATACCATGGGATTTATATACAGTGTATAAACATGGTCCTCCCTCCCCTCTTCCCCTGTGTTTTTCTCTCCTGTTAAGTTTAATTACTTACTCAGATCAGTATATTGACTATGATCCTTTTATAACTCCTGCGGAACCTTCCAATCCCTGGATAAATGATGACACTGTGTTTTGGGACTTAGAAACAAGGTAAGAAATAGATGTTTTGAAAGGGAAGTTTTTGTTCTTCTAAGGGCATATCAATATTGACATATAATGCAGTTTGGAAGCAGTTTAGGAGGAACTGGTTTCACTGCATGCATGATTAGATTGACAGATCTAGAACTGGTTTGAGGCCAGGTTAGCCAGAGAACCTAACCTCAAACTCCTCTACATGGATTTTTTTCCATTTTCAGAAGAGATGTGTACTAGCGCTCCAGAGGCATAAGGAGTGGGAAAAAAAAGGAGTGTGACAGTTAAAAGCACTAGTAATTAATTGATTCCCTGCAGCTCAGCCATGCCCTTGAGGCATTTTTGACAGCCCCCTTTATGGGCAGGGCAGGTGTTTACAATTTGCTTTGCATTTTGCAGGGCCAATTTTGCCCTGGATCTGGGATACACTGACATCTGTGGCAGCTAGCACATTATTTGGCTGAATTCAGATTTTCTTGTGATTTTTAAAAATGCTTATATCTTTGAATGCATGCTGCAGTGAGCAATAGCACTGCACATTTTGTGGCCAACTGTCATGATGTGCCTTGTTCACATTCAAACACAGATAGTCAACATCCAAGTCAAGGGGTTCAAGAACAGAGAGTTCTTGAACCAAAGCCTAAATCCACAGTCCCAGAGCCAGTAAGTCAGTGTCCATGTTCTGAGGTCAAATAAGTCAGTGAGCAACAGTGTAACTAATTGTAAGACAGAATCCAAAGAACTTAAGTCTAGTTCCAGTCCAGGGTTCACAAAGCTAGTCACACAGTGAGTTCACAATAACACCATCCAGCAAGATGATATCTCCGACAAGACTACGAACTCAAGAGTCTTTTGGGCTAAGGCCACAGGTGTTGCTTGTAGATGAACTGTTTCTCAGCTAATCTGGTAGACTTGATTTCTGCTGGGACATGGTGACAACCAATGCAAACCTTGATTTTGCCAATTTATTTATAGGACACTATTTTACTATGCCACTGCATATGAGATTTGAGCATCTACAGATTTTGGTATCCACAGTGGATCCAAGAACCAAACCCCAGCAGATGCCAAAGATCCACCGTATTAGCTAGAGATTAACGTGCAGTTAGCTCAAATGCTGGGGATGTTACTCTCTTGGGCTACTGAGCTGGTGCTTTGAAGTGTTAAACAAGTCTTTTTGTTTGATATCACCTTTGTATCCATAAGCATCACCCTACTTATCTTTTTTGACATTTTGACAGGGTAACAAATCACCCTTTTGCATATGCAGTTTCTCTATTCTCTTAAGTCAAATGTATTTTTGCCAGTTTAATTTAAATTGTCACTACTCACCCTACACCTTTGCTGAACTTTCTGAATTAAGTTGTCACCAAGAAATGCTTGAAGACTTCCCAAGGAGGCACAGGCTGATACTTCTCTTTTTCTGTACACTTTTCATAGCAAAGAGCCTTCTCAGCATCGCGTCAAAAGATGGGGTTTCTCTATAGATGAAGTCTTGAAAGATCCAGTGGGCCGTGACCAGTTTCTTCGGTTTTTGGAATCAGAATTCAGTTCTGAAAACCTCAGGTAAAGGCTCTTCAGACAAACTAAAGATGTAGAGCTCACCAATAAACAGCAGGGACAAAATTAAACAATTCAAAGACTGAGAATAAGATGCTAGATAGAAAAGTATACATTCACTTGGTGACTAGGCTAGTCTCTCTATAGAAGGGAGGTTAAAATTAGCTAGTAAGAAATTTGCTTAAAACCCTTATTAAAAGATATGCTCACAGCATTTTTATAGGAACCATTTGCTTTCCATGCAGAAGAAAGTAGCTTTAAATGCTCCAGAAAGATTCTCGTCGTGATTCCTGTAATCATGTGAGGGTCTGATTGTTCAGAATTTTTCAGTTCATACTGGCTTTCTCCATTATATCAATATTCTTCAGGGAAACTGTAAGAAAGTTTTCTGCAAGAAGTTTCCACCACCTTAACAATTAAGGAATAGTTCTCTTGCATCCTTCTTTGTTCTCTACTTAAGGGTTAGTTGTAAAGACGTGTTTTCAGATTTCAGACAATGAGGTTGAGCAAATCTAGAGGACTTCAATCTGACAAACTCCTGCAATACATTCTCAGCAATTTATATGAAGGGCCTTCGTACGTGCATTCCAGTCTCATTGAAGAAGACTGTGAGAATGCTGGGACAACTTTTAGCCCCAAATCACATTCAACCATATAAACATATTTAATCCTGATAGAAATCCTTAAGTGCATGTACCTTTGACCTGGACATTGGCCATTGGGGAATGCAGCTGAAAAAGCAATTTAACAAGCTGTTTATTTTCTATATATACACTCTCTGTAGAGTATTCCAATCATGAAGTTGGGGACCAGAGTCCGGACACAGACCATTTCTCTATTGATTTTACCCCACAGTGCATTTTTAGTGTTATTTCCAGTGTGTCAAGAAAGATTCACAGCCTGGCTTGTTCGGCTGGATAGTAGCAGGTCTTCTGGTTGTACTGATACCTTTGCTGACAAAAAATGAGTGAAAGGATTTAGGAATGCTGTGGGTCCTCTGGTGTTTTTTTAATTATGAACTTTATAACGTATGTGCTATAAAATGTCAGGACTTTGCACCCACATTCCTATGCCAATGACCTTCCCCTATAACCTCCTTCAGTTCCTCCTCCTCTTCTTGTTCTTTTTCTTGCTCTTCCAAGCTCCTACACCTGTGCAGCTGTTTATGCTGGTGTAGAAGGAAGACATGTTAAATTGCATTGCTACAAATTTGAAGATCCTACTGGAGCTGGCGGCATCAAGGGTAGGAAATTCCTGGCCTAGTAGATGTTGCTGGATTACAGTTTCTGTCACCTTTCTACGTTAGCTATGTTGGCAAGACCAGATGGGTCCAGCACCTCCAATTCCCAGAAGCCCTAACGAGCTTGTTCTATTGTCAGTAATTTGGGGAGTTGAAGGCCCAAACAGCTGGAGGGCTGCAGTTTGAGGATGCCTGCTCTAAGGCCTGGTCCAACAAGTAATCCTTCAATAATTGTGACTACCATTCATCTCAGAGCAGTTATTATGTAACCATAAGAGGAAGCAGGCCAACCCTTTCAAAATTAGTAGTAAAAACAATGGACTTGAGTTCTATCACTGCCTCATTTAAAAAATTAAACAGTGAAGGACTCAGCCTTGTTATTGCAAATAAGATTAAAATATAACAGTTCAGTTTCTTATGAATTGAAAAATAAAAGGCAGAATATGAGACTTGATGTTTAATTTTTTTGTTGTCTCATGATGTGGCATACTCATCTCCCTGAACTTCCAGATTTGTAAGGTTGTTGGGAATCCTTTGTCTATTGTCTGTTAATAAGAAACAGGCTGCCAGGACTCATGACAACACTTCATTCTTTCCTTTCAGCACAATAAATACCTGCTGTGGGAAGTTACCTAATTATCAGTAATGCTTCTGCAGTTGGTCTTTCTTTGTATCTACATGAGTGCTGACAGAGAGAACATATGATGTCTGCAGGTACAGCCACAATACTGCTACATCCCATATAGACCTATGTTGTAAAACTATTTCAAATTCCAAATATCATAGCTTAGTGGCAGAGCTTTGAGAAGTTAAGAACATGAAAAGAACCATGTTGAATCTGTCAAGAGTGACTATGGGAATAGCAAGAGCATAAAGGAAAAGATAGGCAAATATTGACACAGGGATGGGCCAGGCATCAGCAGAAGAACCAGATGTGAATTAGAGATGGATGAACGACAGCATCAGTTGGAAAGACCCAAGGTGTGCTGAGAGCAGTGAAGAGTAAACAGTGAATCGAGCAGAGGAGCAATTACAGGAGTGTGTTGATAGTGGATGATGGAAGGAGGGGCTGCCAAGTCTGGGAGTCTTGGAGGTGCTTTTTCACTATTTTGCCTATGGTGACAAAATATCTCAGGCCAGCCCTAAGGAATGCACCTTACCAACTGTCTCAAGTTTTATCCTTTATCTGATATATGAGTGTATTCCAGCCAGCCATAATAAATCTGTAGGAAGCCATAACACTACATTTCATTTGAACAAAAAAAATTAATCCAAGAATGGAATGATTTTCACTTTGAAATAAAGTATGTGTGAGTGGAGAGGACATCAGAATCTACAAAAGAGGAGATGTGACGAGAGGGTCCAATAAAACAGAACATTGAGGATTGGGACTTCAAGTGAACTTCAATTTCCTAAATGTGCTCACAGCGTGATAGAGTGAAAACTGGGTATCTGCTTTCAGGGAAGCATAATGAAGGAAGGAAACCAACTGACCGATGTACTTGTATTTTCTTGATGATTGCATTTGTTCAGCCTAAGTATCTTCAGAAAACTCTCTTAGGAAGAAAAACATCATGAAGGGTGCACGATTCCATCCAACTAGAAGCAGCAGTCTGCCTAACACTACCTAACTTCAGATTTAACCAGCAATACCTATAATATATAACTATTCTAAACCTACTGTAGACTTTTTACAAATCTTCCCTACATGGCCGATCAATTGTTTGTTATTTATTCATTCAGTCTGACTCTTTGTGATCTCATGGACCAGCCCACACCAGAGCTCCCTGTTGACCGTGGCCACCCCCAGTTCCTTCAAAGCCAGTCATTTCAAGGATATCATCCATCCATCTTGCCCTTGGTCAGCCCCTCTTCCTTTTTCCTTCTATTTTCCCCAGCATCATTCTCTTCTGCAAGCTTTCCTGTCTTCTCATTATGTCCTAATTATTATAAGGGTAATCATGTTCTATCCTTAATTTCTCTAATGTTTCCTCGAAGACGGTGTTCATCTGAATTTGCATAATTCAGTAGCTCAGATGAGTGTAAAAAAGCCTTAGTGAAACTTCCTTAGGAATGGATGGCTAGCTGTGATACAAAGCACGTGCTTTATGTGAACACGTTCTGATTGTAATTGAATATCAGCCAGTCAATTACAGTTGTTGTTGTTTATTCGTTCAGTCACTTCCAATTCTTCGTGACCTCATGGACCAGCCCACGCCAGAGCTTCCTGCCAGCCATGACCACCCCATTACGGTATATGTTTGAAAATAATCTTAACAGTTCCTTGAAGCCAACAGAAAAGTAGAAAAATAACCACTCGTACAAAATGGATTGTATAAAGTACAGTGAAGATAAAAGAATATGAGTTAAAAATATCAAGAAGTAAATTTGCAATCAGTATTTATTTCTATTGCCCTGTGACCACTAGAGGGTGTGCATGCTCTGTAGATAGTTACTTCTCTGCTAAATTCAAGTGAAAACCAATATCGCAGGTTCATAAAAGAACATAATATGCCACAGATTTGAGGAAGAGCATGACTCTTATAGATGTGTTGCTACACTTTAGTTTTATACTGGAAAATATTGCATATAAAATTATACACCTTGCTTTTCAGTACTCTTTGTTATATGAATGTTGTTTTTTCCCCTTTCATGTCATACCATAATTTCTAGTGCCCTAAACACCACTATATAGTCAGAACCTTAATAATAACTTGTTATAATACAGCTTGGAAGTTATGATCTCAGAAATGTCCCTTTCTGTATCAAATAAACCTTTCTCATTTATGCCCAACTCGCATTATAAATGACATTTTCAATTCATTGCAGATAGATATGCACTTTATCTGTTTATAAACTGAATGTATTTGTAATTTTTAAATTGTTCCTTTTTCTTCTTATACTATATTAATTGTATTCACAACTTATATAAGCAACAAAGGCATTAGTGTGCTAACATAAAAAATGTTCCTAGCAGGGACTATGTATTCCAGTAAACTATAAATGAATTCCTGTTCCATACAACCAAATGAAACTATGCAGGCCTCCGTATAGCCACTTGGGAACCATATGTAAACTGTTCTGACCTCCTCAGCTGAAGATTGGGGCACAAGTGCAATAAAAAATAAATTTGATATATTGCTGATCCAGGTCAGAAAAAAAATGCCATTTGTTGGATTTTCCATTATTTGTGAGGACAGCATTAATCCCGATATAAGTCTGAGTTTCAAACTGCTTATAAAGCTCCAACCATATGTTATACTTCCCCAGATGTTGTGAATCATTCTAATATTTGGTAGTTTGTGAGAATAGGATAAAGCAGATACGGCAGATAAATATTACTACATCCCATAAAGTTAAGCATGTGCTTAATTCCTTTACAGAAATCAGCAGATCATGTTTAACTTTGACTTGGGAAATAAGTCATATGTGCTGCATATTTACATATTGTTTCAGGAGCGTGGATATGGATTGATTCTGTAAGAATCCTATATATAGAAGGCGAAAGATTCCTAGTCCTTCTACATCTGGATGTCACATTCCTCCAAATGTCTGCCTCCTGTGTTTTGGAACTGACATCCTCCTCAGAAAAATCCCCTGTATGTTCTTCATTCATGACATCCTTTCCTGCTCTGTGCTAGAAAACTTCATTCTCCCTAATATACTGGAGAGTAGACACACAACCTGAAGTTCTGGACCTTCTCTTCCAATAGGATCACCAGCTTGCCCTTATTGCAGGTGTAGTTGTTCACATCCTTTGGCAAAAACATAAACACACCATAGTTATTGCTGATGATTTCATTAGCTCCTTCAGCATCAGTAATGTTAAGTAGGGACTGAAACAGATCTCTGGACCTCCCCCTCAAAACTCCTCCACTAATTGCCCACATGAGACACTTGTTGGTCTTGCCTGTTGCCAAGGTCCTTTTCTCCAAGCTCTGAGGACAAGGGCTGACGCTATATAGAGATCTAATGGCTGCTAGCTCCATGATCTTGCTCGATCCTGATCGACTTTGTGTGCTCTTCTCACAAGATGTTCTACTCGGTTCCATGGCTTGAAAATCTTTGTGATAGCTACTAAATCAGGTTCTTGAAATGAAGAGAAAACAACTGCACAGAAGACAGCCTGCCACTTCATGTATGTTAAACTAAACAGTAAATACATTATTGGTGAGTGTTTTCTTCCTGTGAGTTAGAACAAGAACAGCATCTTAGCATAGCACAGTGGAGTTACCATGTGTTATCCAGATGTACAATGTTCACTAGGTACAGAAACAAACAGTGGAAAACCTTTCACAGGGTGCTATGAAATGTTATTCTGAGATCAGAGGAGAAATAGCAGTCATTAGACTAGAACGTAGAACCAAAAATGTAGAAGAGCCAAAGTGGAGGTTGTAACAGAAATGAATGGCTGATTCTAGAAGCAGTACATGTACAAATCCTATTTGGGTTAGAAAAGAAAGAAGACAGAGAAAAGGAACATAACTGTTGTGAGTGTGGCTATCTTAACAGAAGATCTGGAAAGAGAATGTAGGTTGAAAGGAAAGATGAATACCAATGTTAGAAGGAGCAACAGCAAAGGTGAATTGAATTCTTCTACTTGGTGATGCGGATAAAGATATGATCCTTGACAGCAAGACACTGGAGTTGATTCTGAGCTGGTGTTCTACAGACATATCACTTTATTAGCCTTTTTCTCTGGTAAATGCTTGAAGGGGAAAATACAAGCACTGCAAAGTATTACCTTGCTTAGGATTCACCTACAAAACAAAATAATTTTTAAGAGAAAGGTGAGGGAGAGGGAGCAACATTATGGAAAAGGCAAGTGATAAGTAGGCCCATAATGGAAGAAATAGAACAGCCAGGAATACCTGCAAATGTATCTAAAAGCCACACTGAGATTGAACACTTCCATTCTCGTTAAAGGTTTCTCTGTCAGGCTGATTCCAGAGGATTTGGAAAAGTACCTGTATGGACTAGAACTACCGGAATTCCCCAGCCAGCATTAAAAGACTTAAAAGATGTTGAACTTACGTTGTTCTGATCTTTGTTGGCATCAACCAGTATGATGTTTGATTACTTAGTATCTACACTCAGTTTACAATTGCTGCTCATATTACAGTTTAAAATTCAGAATTCCTTCCTTTACCTACAAATTGTGTTGATATTAATTATATTATTCTTCCAAAAAATTATTTCAGGTCTGTCCCCCCCTTTGTCTCAATTGCTGTAATCCCAAGTCAATGTGGTTCCTCTTGTCTTAGGTTTACATTAATGTCCTGCGCACCCCTGTCACAACAGTGTGTTGGCTGGAAAGAGAATATGGTGATTAATGTTTTCCTCTGGCTATGCATTCCTTTTCCTATTTTCCTTTACCAAATAGGACAGCCACTGGGAAAGTAGCTGAGCTTTATTCTTCTTGCTTAGAGCTTTCCACAACTGATTGCATTTTCACTTCTTATCCCGTTTATGTGCAGCCTCCAAGAAGGTACATTTTAGGACCCTGTTTTTTTATATAGAACTATGAATTTTATTTGGTCTCTCCCTTTGCTGTCTTCTTTGGAGCGGTTTATATGATGGTATTGTTTAGGCAAGGGTAAGTGACAAGATTTTTTAAGGATTTCAAGCCCTCCCAGTGGGTCTATAACCGGCACTCCAGTTGAGCATTGCTATTTTCCCTATCTTGAATGGCTTATCTGCCTCTCTCTTTCCTTTTGGTTGCCATGGCTATGGAGGAGGAGAACTGGAATGGATAGTCAATCAAACTACAGGCGGTTTTGAAAGGCAACTGTGGGTACAGCCCACCAGAGCTTGTCGCAGATGGCTTTAATACCTCTCGCTGGGCAGAGAGATTGTTAAAAGCAAGAAGTTAACAGCATATAGATGATTGCCATTTTTTTCTTTAAAAAGAGAAAACTTTGAAAGCTCAGACCAAATGGCATAATCTTGGCAAGTGAAAAATATATTTTCCAATATTAGCTAAATGGCTCCGGTTTGGGGCTAAAGGGGAAAAATCCTTAATCTCTTAGAATAGAATAAGACAATAAGAATAAGCATGGTTGGTGATGTAGAAGTTAATTGATGGCTGTTTTAACACCATGCATTTCTCAAGCTGTCCTTGAAAGCATCTGTCCCCAGATGCCTGCGGCATGGAAGCCTCAAATAATGTTTTAAACTTATTCTTTTTTACTATTCTTCTGTGTTCATGCTCATTCAGCAGGGAACATTCATTTCTATCGTGTGATGATCTCTACTATCCAGTATGGTCCCTGTGGCTCACAGAAATCTCCAGATTTAGTTTTTGAATGACATTGAGGATTGAATGACATTGAGGCAGGGCAAGGAAATCCCATTTTGTTGGCTCAACAATGCTTGCATAATATTGAATCTAGACCTGGAATAGTTTATTTCTTCCTTCCTACTTGGGTGATTGTAAGGGGAACCTTTCATAGATTGGCAAGATTTGTTCAAAGAGGGTTGCCTTCATCTGAGGCTGAGAAAATGGGACTTTCTCGAGGTCACCCAGGGGATTTCCCTGGACAAGCAGGGATTTCAACTCTAGTCTTCTGAGTTGTAGCCCTATGACCAAAACCTCTACATGACCCTGATTCTCTTAGCAAACATCAAATGCAAGGTATCAGCTTTTCATATCTTGCACTTCATTTGGGGGGGGGGGGGCAGTATGGATGAATCAACTTCAAGTAAAAGAAATGATGAAAAACTGGCTCTTTCAGATTCTCCCAGCCAGTACAAAATAATAAAGTGGAGGCAAAAGATCTTTTGTTTTTCAAATGTTTTGGGTGAAGGAGATCCCAGATTCAATCTACCCATATTGATCATTGGAAACTTTTATTTAATATAATATGAATATGTGCTGTACAAAAATGTCTACTGCTGTGCTCCGAATGAATGAACTGTCTTTCCCTTAAGCTTCAGCAGAGATAGAACCAGGATTTATTTAAGCCTTAGTGTCTCAAGCTAACTTGCATTCCTGAGATAGATTTTGTTTTTGTTTTTCTTTTCTACCCCCCTCTCCCATACAGGTTTTGGCTGGCTGTCCAAGATCTCAAAAAACAACCATTGCAAGATGTAGTTAACCGAGTGGAAGAGATCTGGCAAGAGTTCCTAGCTCCTGGGGCCCAGAGTGCTATTAATCTGGATTCTCACAGCTATGAGATAACAAGCCAAAACGTCAAAGACCCAGGGAGGTACACATATGAAGATGCACAGGTTCGGACGGGTGTTATTCCTTATAGCATATTAGAACTGAAGGAAGAAGTATAATATTTTAAAATAGAGCTTGAAATGTTAGTTTTTTGGACTGCAAATCCAATAATCTTATGAGTATGTTAGCTGGGAGCTTTTGGGGCTCGTAGCCCATAATTTTAATTTTTCCATTTTTTTGGTCTAAATTTGAACTTGACAGCAGCTACAGAATGTACTTACGTTTTTCTTGGCGAATAAGAACAATGAGAAAAATTAGAGTCAGAGAAAGAGAAGATAATTTTCACTCTGACATGAAGAAATGACTAGTTTTGCTACCCAAAACTACTTAATTGAATGAATTTACAGGACTTTAGTTGTTTTTGTTGCTTATATTGTAAGTAAGAGATAGCAGTGAGCCTATCACCCAGTAATAAACCTTTTCTGGAAGCCACATCTTTGAGAGAAGTTGTAGCAGGATCTATGAAATAGCAGGACTTACCAAGGAAAACATATTGTTATGACACAACACATTTTTGGGTCTGAGACTGAGCATTGAAAACAGATTTCCAGGGTGAAGCCTGGTACACCCTGGCTCAAATTAAGCCCTCAGTTCCCATAAGAGTTCACCCACATGCCACATTCCTGTGCAGAGAGCCAGGCATAATTAGCTAAAAGAAAACACTGGTGTGGGGATGAAGATATGCGACTATTCAGCTAAAACTGAATGAGAAAGATAATTGCCATACATAAGACTGAATTTTCATGTATATATGCATGCATGTATGGTTTATATTGCTGTGGAGCCATACATGCATGTAAATCCAGGTCTGTTTTGTTAGTAACAATGTAAAATAAAAAGAACAGAGGTGGATCAGGAACCAGCAACACCTGCAATACATTGTGTTTAAGGACTTGGTGAGACTCAGAGGATGGTATACATGATATAGTCAGAGGACAGAGATAATTTGGGGATGGAGAGATACAATGTAGGCAGATGAGTTCAGAGATAAAGGTTTGAGAACAGTAACAGAACAGCCAACATGGCACATTAACCAACTTTTATTGGTTTCTTTTTTATTCCTTTTCCAGAAGCCTCCAGGAGACTGGAATAGAGCTTTAGAGCAGTTACTGTTTGGTCTACAACCCTCTGAATCACCCAATTAGCATGGCCACATAGCCCAAAACAGTAGTTTCTCCAAGCTCTGGGCCTTTAAATAGCTTCAGGTCTCCTTGCAGTTTAAGGGAATAGGCCAAAAAGTGAGGAGTGGAAACAACATCTTACCACTCGATGTCTATGTGTATTGTTCAGATAATGATGGAGATCATCATGGTTGAGTGACTGGAGTTTTCTTTCTGTTTAGTGAGGCTAAGTTTTGGATCAGTTCTGCTGCTAACATAAGCCACGGTGCACAGAAGCAAGCCATAAGCACCCAGATGGTTTTTATGCACAGGGAATAAAATAGGCCTTCCCTGAAACCCATAAGAGAGAAATGTATTATTCAGCCTGTTCTGCACAGTCATTTAGAGGCAATGTGCTGTGGCTTTATGGTATACAATCCATCTCCTTAGCAGGCTTCAAATAGAATACACCACTCATTACACGTTCTCCACCCTGATAAACAGATGTACAGCAAGCCCAGATGGTAGCTCTTTTCTGAGAAATACACCACAACCAAAGCAATGCACCCGCAATGAGGTTTTGCCCTGGCTTTCAAGGGATACAGATCCACATCTATTATACTTAGCATATGTTTTTCACTCTAAAGTCCCCAAAGACTTGATCAAATATATCATAGTACGACAGTTTCTGGAATGCAGCCTACTGTACAGAGAAGTTATTGTAATGCAGCATGTTTGCTCTCGTAAGTTACTTGACTAAAGCCACATCCTGTCCCTTTACTCCTTCCGTTGCCAAAAAACAAAACAAAACAAAAAAGGAGGCTACACACACAGTCACAATGTTTCCACTGCAAATTAAGGCTTGCAGGCAACATTCTCTTGACAGAATAATACATTTGGAGGTTAAAAATGTAGTGGTTTGAGGCCAGAACCTTGGCTGGCTGGAGATAAGACTTCTGCATCAAAGTTTATGATGGAAACAAGGTTGATATGAAATATGGGGGTTTGCGCCCAGGGGGAGGGGGGAATACTACTCAGGATTCACATCTTCCTGTCCCACTGTTGTAAATGTTCCAAATGGAAATAGGAGAGAGTTGCCCAGGTTGAATATAGGATAGGATTATTGTGGGCTTAATATTCACCAGATTCTGGATCAGGAAGCCATATCATACCAAGTTCCACCAGACATAATTGCAACACACACACCCCTTGCCCAAATCCATCTTCTAGTTGTCTGCAACACCTAAAGTCTCATATTGTGTGGATCCAACTCCAGGAATGGTGCTGGATGCATTATGCTTACCTTCTCCAGTTTCCATAGCTTGTGAATAACCATACCGGGGGGGGGGGGTGTTCAGTTAAAATGATTTTCGAGTGGGGTAAGGGAAGAGAATTGTGGGTTAAGGGATGTCTTCATGAGCGAGAATCTACTAACTACTAAAGCTACAGAGCCTCATTCTTTATTAAACCCAGCAATCCTAAAATACAGACATTGGAAATGAGTGATTTAGAGTAACAAAATGATGTAATCTGTAGGCAGAAGGCTGAAAAACCTGTATGAGGTTGGCACAGGTTATGACTTGCCAAGCAGAGCAGAGGCCATTAGTTCTTATGTGCCTTTAAGTTGTGTCCAGTTTATGCCAGCCTTATCATATTGTTTTGGCAAAATTTGCTCAGATGGGTTAGCCCTTGTTTTCATCTGAAGCTGAGAGAGTTCACTCAGTGGCTTTCAATGACTAAGAGGAAATTCAAACCTTGGTTTCCAGAGTTCTAGTCCAATACTCAAGCCACTATACCACACTGAGGCAGATACCATTTATTATCATCTGAACAGTGATTGGTAAATTGAGTTTTTTTGCGGTCTCAGGCAAAATACGTTTGATTATAAGCTGAACTCATACATGGCTTGGCAGTGGGAGGATGGTGTTCTGTGTCACTCACTGGTTTTCACATATGGCTTGTGTACACTGCTTGCTTAAGGGGTTTGTTCATACTACTAATAAAACCCAGAATTCCATAGGATGGACCCATGTCAAGCAAAAGGGGTATAATAGCCCTATAATTCTATAGTGTGAATGGGCCTCAGATTTAAAGGACTCCAACGTGAATCCTTCCCATGTTAGCTGGTGAGCTTTCCTCCTCCTTATTTCCAATAGCTTTAAAGGAGATAGAAACGGGTTTTTCAGCCTGGCAGCATCCTGAGTTTGCTGTTGAGTTATTTTAATTGCATACAATGCACTAGAATAACTCAGAGTAGCAACAACAACTCAGGACAGGGGTGCCAGCCATAGCGAGTCCTCAACAACTGCCCAAGAACACTGAGTGCTAAACAGCGCTTGAAAGAGTTACTTTTTTGGACTGCAATTCTCAAAACCCCTTAGCCTTTTCCAAATCTACTTCTGATGCAAGGCAGGTTGCATTTAGGTTGTGGCTTATGAGATGTACAGCTTTTCAGATCTATTTTGAAGAGTAAAGTACACACCTTTTTCAAATGTTCTTTCTGCAGTGTTCATTCCAGGAAGGAAAGGAGGATTCCCAGATGTGCACACTGAACGGAAATTGGGAGTGATTATTTTATTATTATATATGGCTGAACTCTGTTGAGTTCCCAGCATAGAAGTGGAGATAAAATTATTAAAATTATCAGATCACAGCATACTTGTCCAAATATTCCCAAGGCCCTGGTTGGCTGGCTGCTATCGTGCAACCTTGCTAGGGTAATTGTTGCTGAACTGCTGGGGGAGAGATATAGAGACCCAAGATCTTCTTGTGCCATATTGATTCCAAACAAGTGCCCTATCAAGATAGCCTCCATCGTATTCCACCTCCCACATTCCATTTGCATTTCTGTCTTGTTGTTTTCAGTGTTCCTTCTCATTGTTTTAAGAAAATTAACAGAGCACCTATTTTCTTTTCCAAGAGAATGCACATAGAAAGCAGAAGAGGCAGTGGCAGGAAGTTAAGCCTGTATTGGTAGCATGCTTACTCCTGCTCTCCTCTTCTGTTGTCTGCTTTCTTCTTAAGACTTTTCTAATGATTTATCACCATTTGTGTGTGTGTATGTGTGTGTGTAGTTACGTGCTTCTCATTTACACCGCCTTCTCCTCTTACCATTACATTGGCTATGTGTGCTTTGAAAGTCATCAGTATTACAGTGCAAACCCAACCAAACAATCCTTGGAATCACAAAAAGACAGCACAAATTATCAAAGTGACTAAAGAGATGACTGTACATGTTTTTGTCCATTTATACTACATACCACCCTGAAACAATGCATTGAACACAGCGATATATATAAATACTGGGTGGATGGATAGATAGATAGATAGATAGATAGATAGATAGATAGATAGATAGATAGATAGATAGATAGATAGATGATGTCTCCCCAGCACACCTCACTTTGCTGGACTCCCTGATTTCAAGTTCTCTTTTTCCCTTTCTTTGCTCTAATCCCAAAATGCATATCAACAAAGTGCAAAATATATAATGGAGAAAAGTAGGGACATCATTATTTTTCCTTTGCAGTAGTCAGTGCTGTTTGGAGGAGTTCCAGAGCAGGGTCACTCTTTTGCTGCATCATGGTAGCACCTCTTTGAATTACTTTTCACACTGCAGCTATGTAGGACTTCCCAAAGCTGATCAGACTTCCAGGTAATCCATAATTTGATATAGCATCCTCTACCACACATAAGAGTAGCAGACAGGCTCACTTGGGAGGTAAAGGCAAGTTGCATGGTGTTCACAGATCTTTAAACTCTTCTTTTTCTTTTTCTTCTTTTTCTTCTTTTTCTTCTTTTTCTTCTTTTTCTTCTTTTTCTTCTTTTTCTTCTTTTTCTTCTTTTTCTTCTTCTTTTTCTTCTTCTTTTTCTTCTTCTTTTTCTTCTTCTTTTTCTTCTTCTTTTTCTTCTTCTTTTTCTTCTTCTTTTTCTTCTTCTTCTTTTTCTTCTTTTTCTTCTTTTTCTTCTTTTTCTTCTTTTTCTTCTTCTTCTTCTTCTCCTTCTTCTTCTTCTTCTCCTCCTCCTCCTCCTCCTCCTCCTCCTCCTCCTCCTCCTCCTCCTCCTCCTCCTCCTCCTCCTCCTCCTCCTCCTCCTCCTCCTCCTCCTCCTCCTCCTCCTCCTCCTCCTCCTTTGAGGATGAACAACATTGAAGGGGGACTACCCAAAGTCACCTTACCCAAGGCCTCCTTGCTAGTAGGAATCAACACTGATATATAACAATCATAGACTTTACTATCTTGCAACTGTTGGCTTTAATCTTTTCTCCATGCTTCTTCTGTCAGAAGAAAAACATTTTACAGTAAAGAATGAAAGAGTAGCACAACCCTTACTGTTGCCCAATTTCTAAGGACCTCATCACACTTAAAGCAGTGGTTCTCAACCTGTGGGTCCTCAGGTGTTTTGGCCTACAACTCACAGAAATCCCAGCCACTTTACCAGCTGTTAAAATTTCTGGGAGTTGAAGGCCAAAACATCTGGGGGACACGGGTTGAGAATCACCGAATTAGAGCATGGATCCACTTTAAATCCAGTTTCTGCCTCCTACAGAATTCTGGGGCTTGTAGTTTAGGGAAGGAACTTTAATCTGCTCAACCAGAGATGTCCTAGGCCTCACTAAACTACAAACCTCAGAATTCTTCAGCAGGCCAAAACCAGATTTAAAGTGGATCCATGCTCTAGTGTGATGAGGCTGTAACACAGAGGTTAACAATTTTCATCCCTCCTAGTACAAATCCTATTCCTTTGTAATCTACAACATAGGTGCACATCTTTCATTGTGTGTTTGCAGTGTTTTTGACAAATAACTCATGTCTAACTACAGAGGCTGCCTATAAGTGGAGACTGAATCTTACACAATCTGTGCACTCTATATTAGTATCACTGCTAGTAATCACATTGGAGTGATTATTTTTACACTGTAATTTTGTCCCAACTTTTCACTCGCAATCCAAATATTTCAGTTGCATGTCTTTAGAAGCCATTGTTAGTTCTTTGCATGTTTTCTTATAAACTGTTTTAAATGCTTAATGTCCCATGCCAGTTGCTTCAGAGAACAGCAGTTTATCAGCTCTATGCATAAAATGGGTTTCATTCAGGTTCAGAGGAAACTGGAAATAGGATAATTTGGGTTTTTACTTATTCATTTGAAACATTTATCTATCACTTCTCAATCAGCTAGGGCCCTCAAGGCAAAATATAATAGATAAAAACATTTCAAGCATTAAATAATAAGAAACAATTGTTAGCCTGAAAGGTGGGTTAATACATAAATAAAATTTCAAAAATGCTTGTTCTAACCACTCAGGACTTTTTGGTCCAAATGTAAACTGGTCTCGTCTTTATTAGGAGGGAAAGAAAAGAGGGTCTATTCTCAAATGAAGTTAATTGCCTTTTCCTTCCTTCAAGAGCTGAGAGCATAAATAGTTCTCCATTACCTGAATTGCAACCCCTTCCTTGACCACTGATAAGAGACAGCATTAGGCCCCCTTGCAATGCTTGATGCCTGATGAGAAGTGAGAAGCTTCTGGACTGAGTGCTGGTCATGGTATAATATATTGGCTAGTAAATTATATAAGGAATCTCACTGATTGATGTGCTCCATGTGTCCAAGTAGGTTTTTCTGTCCTGGAGGTGCCCTGAATATTTTGAATGATGTCCAGTAACAAATCTCAACCTGTCATTTCTTCCCTCCCCACAGGAACATATTTACAAGCTGATGAAGAGTGACAGCTATGCACGTTTTCTTCGTTCTAATGCTTACCAAGACTTGTTGCTGGCAAAGAAGAAGGTATCTATTGGAAAGGACATGCTTGCACCTCTCGGCACTTCTTGACTTCTGCCTGCTGCTTGCTGCTCTGTGAACCTGAACATTTCACTATTGTGCAGAGTGCGGGATTGTTCCATTTTCTTTTTCATCCAAAGGAATGTGAACATTTCTTTCCTCCTCCAGGAAGCACCATGTTTGGCATCTCAAGAAAAAAAATCATTTGATGAGGTGCAAAATGCCGGTTTACTTTGACTAGTATCAATTCACCCAAGATCCAGTAGGACTCTTACTCAAGATCCTTTAAAATGAATATACTAGGGAATCAACCTGGGGATTGTTGCATTCCGATCAGATGCTTTCTTACTGAGCTATAGCTTCTTCACATTTGCTCAGCAAGAAACAATGAAATTCCATTCTATGTTTCTTTATAAAACAGATATTAGTGAGTCCTAAAAATGCAAGCTATGAATCTGTTATATTTACTACCATGGTAGCAACCATTTGAACATAGTACAAAATCATTTTTGTCCATGGCTTTTCCTGAGATGCCTTACCTGGAGGCTATTTCCTGACTTCTTATCAATTCCCCCATTCCCTTTCACTTGCACTTTACTGTATATGCATTCTTTTTTTCCCTCATTTTCCTTTGAAACCAGCACAAATTAATAATTCAGACTGATCATCCCTCAAAACCAGCATATCTTTCCATTCCTTTCTTCTGTTGGATACCAGCATGCCATTACCAGCAATATGTTTTCTGTCAATTATTAACAGGTCAAAAGAACAAAGAGCTTGTGGTGAAAGTTATGAGGTTCTAGCCAGGAAACAAGAGAGATGGGGAATGGGGGGACTGCCCTCTCTGGTTATGGATGGATTTGAATGACTTTCAGAAGGTCTTCCCTTTGCTGTGTTGCTTGCACACATGGGAGAAGAATTTTCCACATTTTGATTTCAATCCCTTGATATTTCTAAGCACAAGTTCATATGAGAAGTAGTCTTATTTAAGCATTTCTCTGGGCACTAGTTTAAATGCTTTTGAGCTGTTTCAGAAGCAAGGGACCACCTGAATGGATCAAGTGTATCTGATTAGCTTGATGAAAACTACACGCCCTTCACCTTTCTAGTAGTATACTTTGGCCTTCTGGGAGAGCCATTTTGTTTTACATACTATCCACCATAGAGAGTGCTGTATGGAAAATTGGGACCGTATGAGGTGTTCACTTACTAAGATGTTCTCTGGCATATGTGACATTAAGCCTAACTAGAATGGGAATGTATTGGTGATCTGAAGGTTGTAGGTTCATCTTCATTGTATGTCCTTTGCTGTAGTACTGGTGCTAAGTGCTTCATGGGCTGTTATACAAAGCTCACAGGCCACCATTTGTGTAGGCCTACTATCCTGTCTTTAGAATAGGTTCTCCCAGATGCTAAGTGATTGGCAGCCAGTACCATATTTTGGCTCCTGCTAGAGATTTATCAGTTGGTGAAAAGTGAGAGCTGAGTGAAGCTAATTTTTGGACTACAGCTGCTAGTACAACCAGAAGCTAGGGTGACCCTAGAAGTGATAGTCAAGAAAAGATTTTTCCAAGGTCTCTGAAAAGCATCCTATTTGTTCTTCATGTTAGTATCATAATAATGGAAATAAAGAGGTGACAGTATAGTATTTTGTCCCTATGTGATGGATATTGGGGTAACTTTTTCCATTGGGTATTTGGAGTAGGCTGGAGAAAAAATACCATCCTTCTATCTTCTTTGACTATGTAAAATGTGGAGTTATTAGTTCCAGGAATTTCAGGGAAATAAACATCCTTAGATGTATCCATTCAGTATTTAAAGTGGAAAAATATGTGGCATTACAGAAGGTTCCTACAGGTCAGAAAATACAGGACATTGTAGAGGAAGGTTTACAAATATGTCAAAAAACATAGAGTTGATATAATAAAATCTTCATTAGTATAACATTACAGCAGATACTGATCATATCATTTTCCTCATAGCTATCAGCTAAGTTTGCTCTCATGATTTTGCCCAATGATAGTTTTATGGCTATTGTAAGGTAAAGATTAGGGAATTTTAAATCTGTATATATAAAAACGAATTACCACATTCCAAAGACTTTTGCTTTGGGGAAGGGATTTTGCCTGGGAAGTGACGAGATACCTTGGCAATCGTTTTTGTACTGAAACAAATATCTGTTTGGGAGGCGGAGTAGATGGGAACAGGTGGTGGGATATGAAAGTAAGAGAGAAATTGTTATGTATTTATTATAAAGAACGTAGATTCAGTAAACATATACAGACGCATATTTTCTCATTAACTTTCCTGCAGTTAACTGGAATGAGCGCTTTCCCAATCAAGCCTTATTAGCCATATCCAGCTGTATACTGCAACCAGTAGGTTTGCTCTCTTGTGGCAACTACCCTACCTTCTTTCTTGTTGTTTTTGCATGTTTGAAAAATGCATAAGCAAGCCCTATGTATATTTGTATGTATTGGATTCTACGTCTATAACCATTAATGACTGGCACTGTTGTCACACTGCAGCAGTCAGAATTGTTCCTTTTGCAATTACTAAATCTGATTTACAAGACATATGCAGAATGCTTTTACCAAACAAATTGTTGTCTTTGACTTCCCAAACTGCCCGAAGAAATTGATTTGCACCTGATCCAGCCAGTATAGTACCTATTTAGGGGGGCGGCGTGGTTTCTCAGCTCTACAGAATAAGTCAGGCCAGAATGTAGTTGATAACCAAAGCAACACTTAAGATGATTTGATCTTTATCAATTTATTTGGCATACTTACAGTGCACTCAGTTTGTCATATAGGAATAATGTGTTCACTGTATAGTCATACAATTTTAGTATGTCTGTAGTGCATTTCCAGTTTTTATTAATCCTCACAAGAGCACTGTAAGGTAGACAAATATTGTTTCCATATTACAAATGGGGTTAAAGAGATTTTGTGACTTTGGTGAGGTTTGAACTGGGAATGTTATTGCCCACCCTCTTTGCTCCTTCATTAGGCAAGGTAATATAGCACCAGCACTTGCATTAATGTGGTGCCAGACCCTTTCCTAGAAAGCTTTTTCCTTGTTTCCTTTGATTAGAGGCATGACACATCTTAACCTTGTTAGCATCTCCCTGTATTCTTGGGTCTTGTTAGCACATAGTACACACACACACACACAATTTCTGTAGAGTTAGTAATGCCACCAAATGAATCTGCAACCCTATGTCTCGTGAACTGACTTAGGCCAAGGCTGATGGCTATTCCCTTGACAATTCTAATTCCTTTATTTGACAAAATGGCTTGCTTGCCAGAAAAACATGTATTTTGTATATATTAAATAGGATTTGTCACATGCCAAATTATCCAAAACATGCTTTTTGGGGGGATGTTAGCTAATCTACAGCTCTATCATTTTCAGAATTATTATAATAAACTCCTTTTATTTACAATTCTAGGTTCTGAGAGAAAATACTCAGATAATCTTTTTTTAAAAAAAAACTGTTACTTAATCCTGTTAAAACCTTCTGCCAAAAATTCCAATAAAACTATCATCCTGTGTATACCTTGCTGAGAAGTGGGCACTATTAAATACAGTGAGCTTACTTCTGAGTAGACATAACTGAGATTGCACCACGGTCCTGTGCCTTACTTTGTCTACTGCAGTGGTTCTCAACCTGTGAGTCCCCAGGTGTTTTGACCGACAACTCCCAGAAATCTCAGTCAGTTTACCAGCTGTTAGGATTTCTGGGAGTTGAAGGCCAAAACATCTGGGAACCCACAGGTTGAGAACCACTGGAAATTAATCCTGGCTAAATTTGAAGAGCCTGTGAAAAAAATTACAGGAAGGGCTGCACTACATCATGAAGGCAGAATTACACTATCCACCTGAAAAGCAGCTGTGCAATATTATCATGACAGGAAGTAGCTGCTACCCTGCATTGCAGGAACGCCAAAGGGTAGTGGTAATAAGAGGCTTGTTACCAGTGGTGCAGTGAATTAAAGCACTGAACTGCTGAACTTGTTGACTGAAAAGTCGCAGGTTCAAATCCGGGGAGCAGTGTGAGCTCCCAGTGTCAGCCCCAGCTTCTGCCAATCTAGCAGTTCGAAAACATGCAAATGTGAGTAGATCAATAGTTACCGCGCTAGCGGGAAGGTATAGGCACTCCATGCAGTCATGCCAGCCACATAACCTTGGAAGTGTCTGCGGACAATGTTGGCTCTTCAGCTTGGAAATGGAGATGAGCACCAACCCCCAGTCGGATACGACTGGACTTAATGCCAGGGGAAAACCTTTGCCTTTACTTAACAAGAGGCTTGCATGTGCTAAGGTTCTGTATCTCCCTTATGCCACCATCTAATTCAGGTGAAAAAAAATACATAATGGGAGTCAAGCTGTATTGTATGGGATATCATCTTATTTAGGAATTTTTGAGAAGCATCCATGGTTTTTCAGAGCATAGTATGATTGGCATTGCGTTATATGCAGAATTTGACCATTTGCCATACAGGCAGAGAGATTCTGGGGCTAACTTTTAAAGCTAGTTTTATATCCACCACTATTTCCAATTCCACAAATGTGCCTACATTCCTCCAATGCTAAAATAAAACTTAGTGGGCCAGTCACCAGATATTGACACGGATGTAGCTTTGATTGTGATATGTTCCCAGTTGGCATCACAATGGCCCATCTCATAAAGAAGATAAGGCTACTGTGCTTTACATTCATAGAATCGCAGAACTGGAATTGACCACCAGAACCAGCTTGACAGATGATACTCTTAAAAACCTACAAAAGGGAGACTCCACTACACTCTAAGGCAACATATGCTACTGTCAGACATCTCATACTATGGGGAAGCTCTTCCTAATGTTTAGGCAACATCTCTTTTCTTGTAGTTTGAATCCATTGCCACAAATTGTTGTGCCACTGTGGATTTCAGCAAGTGGAGCTCGTGAAACAAACCGTGCTTGTTAAAATCCCTTTCCAGCACAACTGTTATCAGGAGATGACCCTGGTCCTCTTTCTCAGAGTTCTAGTCAGGAATTCTGATATATCCCCACATGGGGGACTGTAGGGGGGAGAAGAAAACAGGGAACCATCTTCTGAAGACAGTCCTCTCCTGATGCATAGTAGAAATGGCAGGTTTATTTAAGGACATATTGCCCCATGGTTATTCCTTCTCAGAGAGGAGGATGCCACCAGCTGGCAGGGGAAACTTTAGGCTCCAACCTTGAAGGGAACTACAGAAGTGAAGGCAAAAGTATAAGAAGGAGAGAGGAGGCACACTGAAAGCAGCATTCAAGTCCTCCCTCTTGAATTGTATAACTTTGTACTATAGCTACAGAGCTGCATTTTAAGAGGCAAACATGGGATATCTCCCAAGGGGATATTATAGTACAAAACCTTCTCTTACTTTTGGTGTTGCAAACAGCAGTTGCCATATATTTAAAATGCTTAACCTTTTCTCTTTTTTCTGCTAATGCTTTAAGAACCAAATTTAAGCTGAAGGGTTTTCTTCTTTTGCTTTCTTTTGTTTGGGGTATTTTTCCCATCCTAACTTTGTTTTCCCCCTTCTAAAGCCGGAGAGTGGGCAAGGTCGTAGAACTTCTCTAGAAAAGTTTACTCGCAGTGTGGTAAGTTCATTTGGCTTTTTTGGTTATGTTTCTTCTTTTTTTTCCCCTTCCTTGCTTCAGCATCCTCCTTTCTTTCAAAAGATTTTCATTTAATTTTTTAAGCAACAACAATTTAGTTATACCATATTTAAGTCATTGTAATGCAATGAAAAGATAGAATTTAATGAGATATATTTTTGACTAAGCTCCATGTTCTGTCCAATGTGGATGATCTCATCACATCTAGAAGATGTTCGATAGGTTTCAATGCACCTATATTCTCCCACATTTCTGCCTGGTACACCAATAGGGACAGTTAGGTTGTTAGGCCATTTCGAGAACAAAGAGTGCATCCAGGTAGCCCTTTAATCCAAGAACATTTGTGTTTTTAAAACACTAATGTTCCCAGATCGTAGTCTACACACAACCCAGAAAGCTTATGCTTTCTGGGACAGGTGTCCAGATGTGCTCCCAGAACTTTTCAGGAGAACACCTGGACACTCTAATCCCCTCCCCAAAACCCCTTTTAAAAATAAAAGAACTTACCTGGCCTCCATTTGCGTGGTACCAGAGCTCTCCTGGCGCGTAGGAATGACATGCCAGAGAAGGGGAGGCAGGAGCGATTTTCCAAGGATGCTTTCACCCCATCTAATGGATGGAGCTCCACACTGGCCATGACATGATGTTGTGTGGCTGCCAGCAGAGGCCCTGCCCTCAACCAGAGTGAAAGCATTGCTGAACACTTTCCCCCCAACACAGGAGTCCTCACCGGAGAGCAACACTTCCCTCATGTGATGGGGAAAGTATTGGAGGGAGATGCTATGAGTGGGGTGGCAGATTCACCCAGCTGTTCCTCTCTTTTTTCACAGATGACAGGCAAAACGGGATGCTTTGCCTGACTTTTGTAACTAGACTGGACTTCAAGGGGCTTGCCTTCTTGTGCCTTGTTATCAGACTGAGATAAAAGACAGATAGGCATTCGTTGGGCATAGTGACACTTTCCTTCTCATCTCAGGCAGAGGAACAGCTTATATTACTGATCTCCAGGAGATAGCAGGTAGTAGTTATAATAGCTATCACATTTCCATTAGGGTTAAATTTATCCTCCATATGCCTGCCTAATCTCATTTTGAAGTCACCAAATCAGTGACCATTATTGCCACGACTTACAGAATTGTTGCTTTTAGTGTTAAGTCATTTCTGGCATATGGCAATCCCAGAGCAATCCTATCATTGGGTTTTCTTGGCAAAATTTGCCCAGAAGAAGTTTGCTGTTGCCTTGCTCTGTGGCTGAGAGAGAGGGTGAGTTGACCAAAGTTACCCAGTAGGAGGTACCAGATACTATCCGATCTTGGAAGCTAAACAAGGCCAGTTCTGGTTAGTACTAGGATAGGAAACCTACAATGAATACCAGGTGCTGTAAGCTTTTCTTCAAAGGAAGAATCTGGCAAAACCACCTCTAAACATCACTTGCCTAATGAAACCTCCATTGGTTTGTCATCACTCTATAGGTAATTTGAAGAGGGACACACACATACTGCATAGCTGAATTATGTGAATTGAAGTATGTTTGTTTTCCTGGCCATTGAAGCAAAAGATATTCCCTATTCAGGTGCTTTGGTCACTGGCAGAGATCTTGAAATTGAGCTTGATAGTCCTGGAATTCATCCCAGGGACCAGCTATTTCATTTCATAAGCATTTATTTGACCTGGCACACAAATTATTTGTATTCTGGTATGTGTACCTGAGTACAAAAGCAAAATGAAAATCTGTGCTGAATTTCTACTGCAGATATCGCACTATTACTCTGAGAAGTGCTAGCCACATTATGAATCAATAAGCTCACATCTGCTTTCAGTTTAAACTAAACATATTGTTTCCCAGTTCCTCAATTCCCCAAACAGTAAAAAAAAATTGACAGATAGCAGCCTTGGGATCAGTTTCTCTGAAAAGAGAGACCGCTGGAGATTTATCAATTGTTTTTTGTTTTAGTTTTTATATTATAAATTTATTTTAAAATATACAAATGGACTCAGAAAAAGTCCACACTAACACAGTCAGCACAAACTTTTAAACTGCACCAGTTTCCCAAAAGTGAACACTGAAGCCAGTTACATTGAGAGTGGGGGAGAGAAGAAGAAAACGGCAATGTGCTTCCACTTCCTGCAGTCCAGTGTTCATGCCCCAAGCAAGTAAGGTGTGTCATTTAGCTATTAAACAGCCCTGAAAAGTGATAGAAGGAACATCTTGCAGTCATTACTGACTACAGAGAAAATATATTTAGCAGCCAGCTAAATAAAGACTAAGGAAAAGATAATTTCCTCATTCAATAGGCATAAAAATTACAGCTGCACCAGTCTTTCATTTTGACTATTCCCTTTGAAATTAGCACATTCGATGCAGCTGAAGAACACACTGGGGGGAAAACCCTTCCTCTTCTCAAACCTATGTGTAGATTTTCTATTTGTTTTTTCAGTGTTGTAGTATTTCCTTGGCTCTTGCTTCCTTCTGTTCTGCCCTCACTATCTTTGGCTTGAAATTCCCATACAGTTATTAGTTCTGTTGGTTGTAGATACTTGTTTTATGTGTGTCCAAGATCTCATAATGTTGCATCTCAGTGAGGGCAAAAACAAAAATGGCACTGAGAAGAATAGTAAAAACAATACCAATATGCTGAATGACACTGAACCATAGCAACTGCTTTTCAAGATTTTTGGAAACAAACATGAGGTGAGTGACTTTAGATTAACCCTTTTTAGTGTGATCAACTCATATGCCATATTATAGAATTAATATCTCCCAAAATGGTAAAGCTTCACATTTACTGTTATTCTTCCTAAAATTCTATTTCCTTCTCCAGTTAGCAAAAAATTATGTTACTTCTAATTCCATGACTCCTTTAAAGTCTTTTTCTTCTTCTTGTGTCAACTAGCTACTGAACAGCACTTTGAAGGCAAAGATAAGTATGAGGGAAGGGCAGTTTCTCAGCCTTTTCCCCTTAGATTCCCTACTGAAAAGTCACATATACAACAACGTCTTCCCTTCAACCTGTCGTTTCAGTGGCTACATTGCACGAAATAATTTTTTGAAAAAATAATCTCATTTAAAGTTGTCCTGCAGCAAATAGCACTGTTCATCCTTGAGAACACTCCTTTTTGGAGTCCAGTGTTCCCTCACTTATTGCGAGTGTCACATTCCAGGACCACCCACGAAATGTGAAAATCCACAAAGTAGGGACTATATATATATATAGAGAGAGAGAGAGAGAGCATACCGAGGGTGAGGCAGAAGCAAGGAGAGATTTAAGGGCATCGTGACCTTTTTTTTTTTTTTTTGCTAGCTATAAGGAAGGGGCTATAAGGCTGTGATTTACATACTGCTTTGTATCTCCTCTCTCTTTTTTTATGATTGGCTGCCTCTCTCCTGAAGGGAGAATGAAACCCCCTTCCACACTCCATCATTGCCAGGAGGCAAAAACCCGCGAAACAGCGCGTCTATGAAAAGTGAACCGCAAAGTAGCGAGGGAACGCTGTACTTTTTATAGTATGACCCCAGCCAGTGACCCCAGTGGTAATGCTGGCCAGAGAATTTTAGGAGTTATGTTTCCAGGTTCAATGCTTCTGTTCAGCCCGGGAGGCTGAACAGAAGTACTTTAAACACATTAATTAAATAAAGTCCTATCTTTTACTCACTGCGACTGCTGTTTATGCTAACTGGATTGGAAAAAGAGTGACATTAGGACTGGGTATTCAATATTTAATTTGCAACATATGGGAAATAGGAGCTTCTTGATTTTTAGTTGGGCAGCAAAAAGAAAAATTAAAATTTCTTGCTTACATTGAAGTAAAAGTGATTGTTATGCTTGTCTGAACTACAGTAGAGTCTTGCTTGTTCAACATAAACGGGCCAGGAGAACGTTGGTTAAGCATTTATGGCAACCCTATAGATGAGAGACCTCCAATTATCCTATTATCAATCACCTTGCTCAGGCTTTGAAAATCCAGGGATGTATTTTAATTTACTGATTCTTTCCATCTGTACTGCCATTTTCCTCTTTTCCTACTGCCTTAAACCCTTTCTTACTTTCTTTTTGAATGATTCCATTATCTTCATCATCTACTTTAAATTTTTGTTGCTGTTCTACTGTAAACCTACCTCTGCACTTTTTTCCTTGACTTTTTTCAGTAATTGTTCCAAATCTGTCTTTTTTTCTGCTATTACTATGGTATCATCTGATATATTAAATTTTTGATGTTCCTTCCTCCAATTTACTAATCCTATCTTATATATTATAAAGTGTACAAGTTAAAATAGGCTGGATGATAAATACAGCCTTGCCTGATCCTCTTGCCAATTCGAAACCATTCAGTTTCTTCAAATTCTGTTCAGATAGTATTTTCTTGTCTTAAGTACGGGTTGTCAAGACAATCAAATGTTGTGACACACCCATTTCTTTAAGAGAGATTCATATTTTTCAAGATCTACACAAAGATTCAAGTATATGTTTGCAATATGATCCTGGTTGCCTCTTTTGTTCCTGAACTCAGCTTGGAATCTTAACATTTCTCATTCCATAGTCTTTGTTGTACAATTTTGAGCATCACTTTGCTTGCATGGAAAATTCATGCAATGGTCCTGTGGTTACTGCAGTCCCTGGTGTTTCTTGGGGACTGGGATGTATATTGAGCATTTCCAATCTGTGGGGCCTTGTTTTTGTTGGCAGGTTTTTGTTAGAACTAGGATAGATTCTGTCTGTGTAGATTGGAGCAATTTTACTAATATGCCATTTGTTCCTGGTAATTTATTTCTCCCAAGTGGAAGTTCGTCTTCATATGGCTCTTTCTCAAATGATCCTGTCACCACTTCATCTCTTTTGTATAGTTCTTCTGTGTATTGTTTCCAACTTTTTATTTCTACTTGGTCATGTAATATCTCCCCTGCAGGTCGTAGAGCATCCCTGTGCTTGATTAAAATGTTCCTTTTATTTCTGAAATCTTGCAAAAGAGATCTCTTGTTTTCCCTTTTTTGTTGACACTTTCCATTTTTCTGTATTGATTGTTATAGTAGTTGTCCTTGTCCCTGCACATACTGTTGAACTGTTGCACTCAGAGTTCTGACTATCTCTGTCATTTTCTACTTTTGCTTCCCAGTGGTCGACTGCTTGAAGAGTTTGATCTTTCATCCATTGAGTTCTCTTTCATTTTGCTTATAGATAGTATCTTTTTGCATTCTTCCCTGACAATATCCCTAGCTTCTGTCCAGAGTTCTTCTGGTTCCAACAGTTATGTTTAACTGTGCAAATCTATTTTTTCACATTATCTTTACATTCTATATAAATGTTCTTAGATTGTATTTCAGTATGATGGTTCATTTAATGTTCATCTATAGCTTTATTCTGATTTTTGATATTAGTAGTTCCTGGTCTGTCCCGCAATCTCCTCCTGATCTTGTTTCTGCAGAGAGAATTGATCTTTTCCACTTTCTGCTTCTCATTACACAATCTGCTTGATTTGTATATTGATCTTCAAGTGATATCCATCTATACAGTCACTGAGTTGTTTGAAGAATGTGTTTGCGATAACTATGTGGTTTTCATGCACAAATGTTGTTTCTCTGCACACAAAAAAGCCTGAACTGTAACTAAGAGTTCTACTATGAAGTTTTCCACAGCTAAAAAAGATTGTTAGGATTATGCACTGCATACTTCAACAATACAGTTAGCAAAGGATTGCATCCCTCTTCCTTCTGTGGTGGCTTCATGCACAGTGGCACATAGCCCAGAGGTTGGTCTGTGTTCCATTCTACATGATGCAACTAGCCACAGTTGTAAGAGCAACATTCCACTTTATCTTGTAACAGTTTACATCCCTGACACTGAAGCATGGAAATACTTAGAAGGCTTCTCATGACCATGTGGTATTTTGTGTGAATGTTTGGGTTTTTAATGTATTAACATATTTCTTGTGTTATGGAAGAAGCATCCCCCTCTGCCATCTCACATTACTTACATATACTGAGCTACCCTTTAGACAAAACTCAAACAGAGAGCAGCTGTCTACATGACTTTTCTGTGGTGAGGAAGTAGAGAAGAGTATTGTTTGTAAGCATAGTAGGAAGCATTATGATATCCCCATTCAAAAAGTTCTCCCTCTACAATAGTAATTATATGCATACACCCCTAAAAAGTACAGATTTGTTAACTGAAATACAATTAAGTGTAGATGAAATAGGAACAGTTAGCCACACACTGCTACTATGCAGTCTCCAGACTTACTTGGTGGATTGTGCTATATATTTGTGACAGTACAATTAAATAAAGATGTATGACTCCTGTTAATATAGTAGTAAAACGTATGTTTTCTTGCTTTTTAAAAAATGATCTTTTTTATTTTTCTGTCTATTATTTCGTATATGTGCACTAATTTAAATTCTCTTTTTGCTGTCTATTATTTTGTATATGTGCACTAATTTAAATTCTCTTTTTGATCTCTTTTTATGGTTTACCTTTTTAGATTTTATGTTCTCTTCCCATGATCTTTCTTTCTTGCTGCTTTTTGCTTATAACCTCTGCTAAGCATTTTAATTTTGCTTCTTTTCTTAATTTATGTTACCTTTTATGTCTGCAGTGTGTATCATTCTGCAAATTCTAATAAAAAAACTATTTTAAAGGGATATGGTTCGTGAGTTCTGTAGCAAAATCTTACACTGAAAACATATGAAGCATTTGCGTGGGAGGGTTCATGGGATTTTTTTCCCGGTTCAATAACCAATGATGGAGTGTTTCCCAGTTCTGTTTAGGATTTGTATTGATTTTGTTCTGAGAACCCAAGTACTGTACTGTTTATCATATGGCCTGAATTAAGGAATTATATAACAAGAGACGTTTCTCCCCAGAAATACAACCTCTCATTATCAATGTTTTATTGCTGCTATGGATACAGTTTGTAGTCTCAAAGAGCTATATGAATAAGGTTGATTGATGAGAAAGTATGAGTATTCAACAATATATGATAGATACTCTATTGGATGTCCACAGGTCTCAGGACCCGGAAGCCATGTACACTCTACCTCCTTACAGCTTTGTTTTGTAATATGAGGGATGAAATAAAACTACGAATGTACATGTAGTATTTAGCAGTTCAGCAATGAAGATCCTAAACCCCATCCATATCAAAATATCAAGGAAGGTACCATTTTCAAAGACCTTCAGCCACTCTCATCCTTCAGTATCTTTCCAAAATTCTCAGGGGATCAATGTGACTTAGCTAAAGGACAAATACATGCTGAGCCAAAGATGGCTCTCCAGATGGTGAAAGCAAAGATTTAAAAAGAAGATTCCAACCTGCTTTGATGTTTCTCATTGAAATGACCTATGGTGACCATATGAGTGAGACCTCCAAGTCACCTTATCATCAACAGCCCTACTCAGTCCTGCAGGTTGTGCCCCAATTGATAGGAGAACAAACCTTGTTTCTGGTAGCAGTTGCTACTAGGAATAACAGGATCAGGGAGCTTTTACAATTGTGACAATAATGCCATGATCATTAATATACAAAGACCATAAATATGAATTAGTTAGAGATGTCTAACTTTTGTTATGCATCCATAACTGTGCTAGTGAATTCCAGCTCAAGTATTTAGCTGGCTTTGTGTTAACCTTTTTGTTAGCCACTGTTGGTCCCATGCTGCAAGAAAGGTGACATAAGAATGAAGGAGGGTGGGGAGAGAAAAGAGTTCACATCACTGAAGCATATGAAAGTTAAAATATAATTAGATTATCTATTCAGCACATTATTAAAATCCCTTTCCACAAAAATTGTGAATTCAGAAGAGTCATGTGGTTACTTTCAGTCATTTTCCTTAAAATAAGGGAAATGATAAAATATTAAGAAAGAGCTATACTTATTTATTATTTCAATTTATGATTTGGGGAAGTCAGTTTGATTTTTTAAATTATTTCATGTATTTAAAAAAATTCACAAAAAAACTGAATTTAGGGAGAATTAGCTAGTAATGAGTAACACCATACATTATTTTCTGTCTCGGACAATTGAATATGAACAACAACGAATTTCCCTTTTACAAGAAGCTACTTTAACAAATTCTGAATAAATTAGTATGTTCTTCTAATTTTTGCAACTTCCACAAACACCCCTTCTTCTGAATAGTCAGGGGTCTCAAAACTAGTTTCTCGTGTGGTTACAAGCACCATAAATTATAAGTATAGCCCTTTAAAGCACTGTGCTGTATCTTGGAGTCAGCTGAATCCATTTTAGAAAGGAAGGAAGCACAAATGGTTTTCTTATCTTGTCCTGCCTTCAGCTTCCTATGTAT